ATACAAGAGGGCAGAATATGGAAGTCTATAAAAATGTCTTATTACCAATAACTTGCATCAATGTTTTCAGTAGCCTCTATCAAAAGCTCCTGCTTGCTTGTTGTGAATTATGCTCAGGTGCACATATTTCCAATTCAACCATGAGGCAAAAAATGTGGTAAAAGCTCTTGTTGATCCTGCAATCTGAACAAATACCAAGATGCTGTATTTTCATCTGATATTTCATTTGTTTATGGAAATGCATATTGTTTATGCAGTGTTGAGGAATGTGAAAGAACACCCTTGATTATTTTTACTGTGATAACTTATTTTGATTTTGTAAGCCAACACTTTTGAGATCAGTCAATAAATGCTTCTGGTATTGACTTATGTGCTGCCCCTGTCTTCGTGTTGTTGCTGGACATATCTTTTTTAAAATGTGTGTAGGTCACCTAAATCATCAGAAAAATTGCCCCCCCTGAGAATTTTTTCAGGAGCCGCCACTGGTAGACAGGTTAGCTGACAACGTCACGAAAAAGATGTGCGCGCTTCAAAGGGGCAGAAGACCGTGTGTTGTTCTGGGCTGGGTTGCACAAAAGCATTGTAGCACTAAAAGCATCTTAATTCCATTGAAACTAAATGGACGAAAGATGATCTTAGTGCTACGATGCTTTTGGGAAACCCAGCCCTGGATGGCCAGATAGCTAGCAACGCACGGTTACATGCACACAATAATACGATTATTGTGGATAGTCAGATTAATATAATAGTTCGTTTAAAACGTTTACATGCGTTGCAAGAAGAACGATTTCCCTAATAATCCTGTTTACATGAACACATCTGAAATCAAGCTACCTGATGGGACTTTTGATAAATGCAGAAAATTGTAAATCAAAATAAACGTTCTACCGCAGTGACCGTTATTTTTGACAAGCCTATTTTATTCTGAGTTCGGACATATAAAGTTTGTATGTGAAAACTATTTCTAAGATGCATACTTCCAGTTTTTCCGAATTTACTTCACTCACGAATAGGAAGGCTTGCGCTACCAGTGCTGGCATATTCGCAGATCAAATGCACCACTGGAATGTCCTAATAATTCTAAAGATTGCTCAGAAAACCAGGTGTTTTAATCAGTGTATGTTTACTTCGATTTTGACCTTAAGCCAATTAAGATAAGCAGAGTAAGATGTTTACATGACTATTTCCATACTCGGCCTAATACTGTCATAATCAGTTTAATATAGAATTATTAGTGTGCATGCAGTGGTGGAAAAATTAGCCAATTGTCATACTTGAGTAAAAGTAAAGATACCTTAATAGAAAATGACTTAAGTAAAAGTGAAAGTCACCCAGTAAAATACTACTTGAGTAAAAGTCTAAAAGTATTTGGTTTTAAATATACTTCAGTATCAAAAGTAAAAGTAAAAGTCTGAATAATTTTCAATACCTTATATTAAGCAAACCAGACAGCACAATTTTCATTGATTTATATTTTTATTTACAGATAGCTAGGGCATAATTTAAAAACGAAGCATTTGCATTTATTGAGTTCGCCAGATCAGAGGCAATATAGTCAAAATGTAAGGAGCACTTTTGGGTGTCAGGGAAAATGTATGGAGTAAAAAATACATTATTTTATTTAGGAATGTAGTGAAATAAAAGTAATGTTGTAAAAAATACAAATTGTAAAGTAAAGTACAGATACACAAAAAAACAACTTAAGTAGTACTTTAAAGTATTTTTACTTAAGTACTTTACACCACTGTGTGCATGTAAATGTAGGCTACTCAATGACAAGAAACTGCCATGTGGTCAAACCTAAGTGGCTTGTTTCAGCTCGTTTGATCTTGTTTTTGATACCATGTCTTATTTTGTGGTGTTTTGACTGATGTCACATCTATGCTAATATGGCTGAAATGTGCTAGCTAGCTAGCTAACCAACAACTGTAACAATGTATTTGAGATACAAGTGCTCATTTGCAACTTTATTTATGTTTTCAGTTGGAGATGAAATACAGATAACACATTTTTGACAATCTAAGTCAACCAACTGGTGCAGTTAAACGTTCTAATGCAGTGGGCTAAATCAGGGTCACGCAGAGGGTTTCTGGGTAGTCTTAAATAAATCATTTTGAAACAAAAGTGTACACCTCACACACTTGGTACCCATACAATGTCAGATATAGAGTTGAAATGTATTGAATTTGGAGTTTGCATCCCAATATTACATTTTATATACATCACAGAAGACTGAAATATGACAAAACCGTTTGACATAGAAACACCAGATTTTCGGCACACACAAAAAAAGTTTATTAATTATGGAATTATGAAAAATATTAATAACATTCCACCCATGAGGCCACTAGAGGGCACTTTGGTCATTCCACTGCAGGAAAGGGATCTATGACAACAACTAGCCATGACATATTGGGTCAATCTTAAAGGTCATAAGGTTACACAACCTACAAAAAAGGTTGTCCTAGAGTGCTGGGAACATGAACGAAATCTGAATACAAGTTTTGGGTGGATAGGTAATGGTATGGCGAGAGAGATGGGGTTGTTTGGGGAGGAGTTTCGCCCCTCAGTGGTTCTTCCTGCTATCCCACCTTGGTTTCTCCCTCAGCCAGTGATAGATCTAGGGTTGCTTGAGAGAGCAAGAGCTGTTGAGGAAGGAGTGGATTCAGTTGTAAGTGAACATTTAAGTACATAGTACTATGCTTTCTTGAATATATTCATAGATGGATCTAAGGACCCTAAAACAGGTGCAGCTTTTAGTGTTCCTGAGTTAAAGGGGGCAGTGACAAAAAGAGCAATGGATAATTTATCCGTATACACAACGGAGTTGCTGGCCATACTCTTGGCTGCAGAGTGGGTGGAGGAGGTGAAGCCAGACAGGGTAGTCATCTGCTCTGACTCCTGTGCAGCACTGATGAGCTTAAATTAATTTGTGTATCGGAGCAAACAGGATGTATTGTATGAGGTTTTGCAGTGCTTGTATAGGGTGAGACAGATGGGGGTATTTGTGATGTTCCTCTGCGTACCAGCTCATGTGAGAGTAGAGGGGAATGAGGAGGTGGATGTTCTCGCCAAGCAGGCTCTCAAACATCCAAATGTTGAAATGGAACTGTTAATCAGTAAAGCAGAAGCCAAGGGGTTGATAAAAACAGTGGTTAAAAACAAATAGCAAGAGTTGTGGAACAGGTAGGGAAAGGGAAGACACCTGCATAATATCCAGGAAAAGGTGGGGGCAGGGAGGTCCTCAGGTCCAGAGAGAAGGGAGGAAAGTGTAATAAAAGGTGGGGGCAGGGAGGTCCTCAGGTCCAGAGAGAAGGGAGGAAAGTGTAATAAAAGGTGGGGGCAGGGAGGTCCTCAGGTCCAGAGAGAAGGGAGGAAAGTGTAATCACAAGGCTAAGACTGGGACACACAAGGCTCAACAGTACATTGAAATTGGTAGGAAAACATCCGACTGGGAGGTGTGATCACTGTCAGGAGGAGATAGAGACAGTGGAACATGTTCTATTTCAGTAATATGAGAGGGAAAGGGAGAGATTGTTATTAGATTGAAAGAGTAATGGGGTTGAAGAGCCAATGGGATGTAGTATTTAATTATGTGTTTCTTTAGGGAGACGAGAATAATGGGTAGGATGTAGACCTTCCCTGTCTCTGGTCCACACTCCAGTCCAGTTGGTGGTAGAAATGCACCTGAAAGTTAGTTGCCATATAAAATCCACAGAAGAAGAAGAAGCAGCAGAAGAAGAAGACGACGACATTCGGGAACGCTTGCAAAGAAGACCAGGCTGGGGTTTGAGAAGTCAATGAGAGAAGTGAAACATTATTCCTTAGCGGTGAATTTTCTCGAAATCTAAAGGCACAACCTAGATTCATTACATTTACATTTTCGAGACAATGTCTTAAGTAGCTGAACATGTTATTACTCCAACCTCGTAAAAGTGACAAACTGACAAGTTTAACGTTTTGTGAAAAACAACTTTATATTAAAGGAGTGCCTTTGATTAGATGGCCTGCACGTGCGCAGTCCGAAAGGTTAGACCCGATGACGTGTTTGTGCGCATGAGCTTAGCTAGCCAACGTCGCCGACAAGCGTGATCAGGGATGTCAGCCTAGCTTCATACTGTGCGCGTTCGTAAATTCACTCTGGCTATCTAGTCCGATTTCAGAGCACTCTCGTCTGTGTGCCAGAGCGCAGAATAACTGATACATTTACGAACGGGCAACACCTGTTGAATATGACCGGTGTCAGTAAACGTCGGCAAAAAAACTTTATGAAATTGTTGCCAGCAGCACAGTTACAGTCACCAACGCTCTGGATAACATGAAAACAGCCTAACCAGCTCTGCTGGGGCAAGTAAAATGGTCAGAGTGAGGTGTTCTCTCATTTATGTCTGGAAGTAGCCTAGCAATGGTTAGCAAGTTAGCTTAAGGTGCTTGACCGCCGTTGTGAGGCCAGAGCGAAACGCTCTGAATTTATGAACGGACAATCTGACAACGCTATGATTTTACGAACGCCCAGAGGGCACGCTGAACGCACTCTGGCACTCCTGATTAATTTACTGTACCACAGATAGAACAATGAATCAGATATTTCACCGGATGTATAAATGTGAAGTATCTACTTGGCGTTTCCACTCACTACCAAATATGGGAGTGAGAGGAAGCCCATTGACCGGCAGTGGGAGAAGATGGAACGAGATGGATTTTGGTCGACATTCTGTTAATTTTCCTCATCGATAAAACATTTGATTTCAATAAATGTTTCTGTTCCCAAAACTAGAATATGTTAAGAACAGAGTGGACTATGTTTTGTAGACTTTACTCTTTGCCAAAGTTGTAAAAAAAAAAATGCGTTGTTTAGGAGTGCAAAGACGAATTGAGTTATTGCACACGCGCAATTTGCAAATATATGCTAGAACACGCCAATAGGATCTTGGTAGCTCGTGCTTGGCTCCGCCCACCTGCCACTATGACTAATTTGTTCCCATTTGAAACGACGTGCTGTGGTCTATCTTGGTTTAGTTATTTTAAAATATATATTTTACTGTACTGTCTCTTAGCTAGCTAGCTATAGTCTTCCAATACGACAGGTGGCAGTAACAGACCTATAACGTTACATTTCAAACTTAGTGGACGCATGTGTAGCTGCATACATTTTTTGTAAAGAAACGGCGTGCAGCAACCAGGCATAGCAGTGGAATCATGGCACTGAATGCAGGTAAATAAACAAGCTGCTTTCCTTAAATGCTTATGTTTTACTTTGGTAGGCTATCTCACAAGTTTATTTTGCTAATTGTCTTTCAGAATGCCAGATGGACGTTTTTGTGAGTTAAAGTTTTGACCGGAAGCCCAGTTTGACAGCTAGCTTGGTCAGCTTAGCCAGCTACAGTAGCTGGCTAATTGACTAACGTTAGTCAACTAACGTTAGTTGGTCTACTGGTGTCTCCAGATTAGTTAGCACAAACAGACGTCGCATAATACTTGCTTGCTAACTAACTAACTACTGTTTGCGCACTATCAAAAGTTAAATTATCATCACCTAGCTGATGTAGCTATCAGCTAGCTTGCTAGGTTAACCGAAATCGACTAACGCGTTAAGTTATTGTACTGTCAGTTTGATAAACTAGCTAGCTGCGTGATGAGCAAGCCAGCCGTGTCCATATGACTGAGTTCTGGTAGTTTGAATGTCGGTTTCCTCCCCTCACCCTCCATGGTTTTCTTGTCAGACGACGATGACTTCGAGTGGACACCCCCTTCAGAATCTGAGATGAAGGTTATTCATGCTCAGCGGGAACGACAGGACAAAATAAGCAAGCTCATGGGTGCCTACCTCCTCAATGGCTACAAAATGTTAGGAGAATGCTGCGAGCAATGTGGGGTGAGTGGGGGATAATCCAGACCATCCCAGTTTATATATTTGCCACCTGTTATATATTTACTGAGTGAGATCTATAACTAAATAAATGTACTATGTAATGATTTTTAAAGATGAAGGGATTGATTGATCTTGTTTTAGGAGATTGTAATGAGCGTCTAAGTAGTATTTGGACTTGAGTTGAATAATTAGTCGTTTGTGCCTGTCCAGACGATTCTCCTTCAGGACAAGCAGAAGAAGAACTACTGTGTTGCATGTCAGGAGCTGGACTCTGACGTAGACAAGGACAACCCAGGTAAGAGTCTGTGCAGGGCTAGGAGAATTTCTGTTATGACTAGGGGAAAGGAGTTGCCTGACAACTCATCCTGAATTTAATTTCGCTGCTCTGTTGATCGCGCCATATAAAGAAACACTAGTGGGCGTGGCGTTTGGCTGGAGCAATGTGGATGGGTAGGTAGTCAGGCTAGGAAAGGAGTTTCCTGAGCTAACTGGGCCTAGTTTATGACTCATCTAACATTAGTTTGCAACTGAACAAATCATTTTCTTGCTCCAACTAAACTTTTTTTTCTTGTCATTTCCTTCTCTTTCCTGTTACTGTCCTCTCACTCTCAGCCCTAAATGCCCAGGCTGCCCTGTCACAGGTCAGAGAGAGACAGCTAGCCTCTCAGCCTTTCCCTCTGGACAATGGAGCCCCCTCCAGTGACGCTCCCCTCTCCATCACAGGGCAGCCCCGACCAGAGCACTGTGAGGGGGCTGCGTCAGGACTGAGAGGACCCCTACCTCCACCAGCAAACCCCACCCCTGCACCCACCGTGACCCCCAGCTTCCTCCCTGCGTCCACCCCCTCCATCCAGCCAGTCCATGTGCCAGCCCCCATAGTAGCCCTTGCACCTCACCCAGCCCTGTCCAGTGCTGAGGACGCAGTGCTGCACAAGCTGCGGTGGGCCACACAGGAGCTCCAGCACTCAGCCTCAGTAGAGGCTAGTATCCAGCTGTGCAGTCTCATCCGCAGCTGTGCAGATTCACTGCGCAGCCTGAAAGAGCTTCACCAATCATGAGACTGAACTGATGGAAATTCTAAAAACAGAAACAAGGCATAAACACACGCTCACATAAGCAACACCGGAAGTTATAGCAGCTTGATTCCCTTGCAAAGGTTTTTGTGGCAAAAGTGAACTGCTTCACCTCTGCCGGTAAAGGTTATTGTAATAAACTTGGACAACTGTCTGTGTATGCATCATTTGTATTTTGAGGACCTGTAGTGTTACATCTTTTAAAACATTGCTGTTACTTTTGATTTGAAGGCTTCTCTGTGGATTCAGGGTAAAGTTTTGACACCAACTTGCATGGTGAGAATGGGCACCTCTGAGTGGTTGAATATCTCTGAACTAAATATAGTTGAGTGTTTGACTGGTTGATATTAATGTACATCAATTGTTTATAAAAATTGGAATTCATCCACTTTATTCATACTTTCTCTGTGGTTATTACTTCATTTTAAAACAAGTGGCTTTTGTTTTATGTGGCCACACAACAATAGAGTGACAAAGTGGCCATGTAATGTAATTGTATGGAGTTGTAGATATAGTAGCAATCTATTTATACTAGAAGATGATATTTTTAATATTCAGTAGTGTGGTGGCAGTAGTGGGAGTTGCCTACTTGTTAACAAATAGTATTGGAACAACTATTAAGGATGTTTCTGATAAGAGACTGGATGGATGCAAAATGATATTTGCTGTGATGTAGTACTGAACGAAGTTATGTGTGTATTTGTTGTAAAAACTGGAATAGTGTATAATTGTAGATGTATAGGGGTTATTGTATAAATACAAGGCAACCGTAAACATGTCGTGCCCCACGAATGATGCAGCCCCCCCTTGGGCCAATTGCGATATCACGTGTGACTAACACATTTCATTTCATTACTATATTTCCCTCATTGGGCCAATCAGTGTAATTTTGTAAATGCCGGATCTATATGGAAAGACGCACCATTCACCCAAGTTTCGTCAAAATCGGCCCAGTGCTGTCTTAGATCACGTGTTACGAAAGTAGGAATGTACTGACGGAGAAAGATCCATAGTCCCCTCCCTGATTTAATCGTGGGGGACAATTGGAAAATTCAGTATTTATGGTTTTCAGTGGTTTTGTCTTGATGTAAGGCATTTGGAAATGGGTCAAGGTGCAGAATTTGGTATTGCTAGAATGAAAAAAAACACCGGCCTCGACATATAATAGTTTAGTTATTCGGCAATATTGTTCCTAAGGACGTCCTAATACTGTTTCCTCTATCCTCAAATATAGTGTGTTTTGACAGCGGGGAAGCGGTGCAGCGCCTCGGGTCTCTGCGATGAAGTGGGACCGGACGGGGAGGGGATATTAATCGAGGGCGAGGTTCGCAGTTGAGACAGAAAAACGTAGTGGGAAACAAAGCAAGGATATCAGACATGAATTCATCTTGGTAACATTTACATAGGCCTACGTTATGTTTTCATTGCCAAAGCAATTTTTCATCCACATGGATGCTGTGTGAACGGCGCCTGTATTGTGCTATTGAGGACTCGTTGGAAATACAATAACCGGAGTGAAGGTGAAGCAACGTTTTTTATTGAAACTATACATTCCGTCTATACATTTGCAACCTGTTCTGTTAAATGCTCATCATCGGTGGATTGCTGATCTGAGACAATAATGACTAGGCTATAGCCTACTATTTTGAAATCATCACATACTGCACATGATAGTGCGCTTCCATTATTGAATCCGTATTTTCTTTATGATTGAATATTTCTGGCCTATAATAAAAGCAGCAGAAGTTTTTTTTCTTATATTTTTTCTTCTTAAATAGACATTGATAAAGAGGTAGACAATGAACGGGCTCCAGTCGAGTCCTCCTGGATGGCCAGGCAGCGTCTGTTCAATCGAAGGACTACCCGCTTTGCCAAAAGGCCTGAGCGGCATCCTTAACTCCAGTGGTGGCTCATGGAGGGACATCGAAAAAGTCCACAGTAAACGGACAAGCCTTCAGGCCGACATCAGCAAGTCTAGCGTGATCGACTCTCTCGGCCGCAGCAAGCCTGCACGTCTGGACGCAACGCTGCGCAAAGAAATGGTAGGACATTATTCTGTAATCAGTTGATTTTATTTTATTAGGATCTATTTTAGCCCAATGGCTAGTCTTACAAGAGTCCTTAAGAAATTTAAAAACATACAGAAATGTAAAAAACAACAAAAGGAAAGTCAAAACACCAAAACACACAATATTTTGATCATTTCTCACAGCTTTGTCTTTGATTATTGTCAGCAAATAGCACACATCTAGAGAACATCCTGAAATAATAGGGCAGCAATTTCAGCTCAATTTACCTAAATTTGTTCTTGTTCATTTGTATTCAACTGACAACGTTTATAAATAAATTAATAATTTTTTTATTTAGCAGACGCTCTTATCCAGAGCGACTTACAGGAGCAATTAGGGTTAAGTGCCTTGCTCAAGGGCACATCGACAGATTTTTCACCTAGTCGGCTCGGGGATTAGAACCAGCGACCTTTTCGGTTACTGGCACAACGCTCTTACCCACTAAGCTACCTGCCGCCATATATATATATATATATATATAGTTAATGTATGAGATTATTGACACAATTATCCGTTCCTGTTGTGTGTCCTAGGTGGGCCTCAGACAGTTGGACATGTCTCTGCACTGTCAGCTGTGGTCTCTCTATGAGTCCATCCAGGAGTACAAGGGAGCCTTTCAGGACATCTCCAACTCTCTGCTGTCAGAGAGCACCATCACTACAGAAAATGGTTACTCTGAGGAAGAGGATTATTATGAAGAGGAGGAGGGCAACTATGGTGATAATGTACCTCAGGATCTACCTGGCACTTCACTGACTCTCCAGCCAACTCAAAACTCCCGGGACCAATTGATCAAAGAGTCTTTCCACATTCCCTTATAAACCAACTAATATTTTTCCTCTGTTTACATAATATAAGCTGTTTCCTGTTCTGTATAGCCGTTTAATTATTTATTATACTTGTACCCACCTAGCTAGGTTATTGGCAGAAGGACATTTTGATGATCTATCTCCATCACAAAAGGAGCTGACATTTTCTCCAACAACCTTGTTACTATACAATACATAATTAAAAAGACCTTGCTAATTGATTTGGACTAATTGTGCCTATCTTGAAAACAAAAGCCGTATTTCAAATACCTGATGAATTGGAGGTATTTGAATTTGGTGTAACATGCCTCTAATTAATTTAACATATTTCATTGGTATCCAATCATACTTGTACTATGCTTGAAGATTGTTTAAGTGGCAGTGTCTGATGTCAAAGGCCTAGGATTGTAAAACAATGTATTTTTCTCTAAATATTATTTTTTTCTCTACAATTCTAAGATTGAATGTAATCTTAGACATGTAGCCACATACACACAATGTCGGTATTACTCGTTTTTGTTTGTTGTGATGGGCAGTTTATGGATTGAGCTTTTTTATTAGCTTGGCCTAAAAATACAAATGCGATGGACAGTAACCATGTGTTATAAGTTATAACTCTACAGTACGTCAATTGTCCGCTTATGGGTCCAGCTCAACTGTAATTTATTGGTTTGGAAAGGGGTTATTGACATACTCTAACCACTAGATGGCAAAATGTGTTGTGACAGATATCAGCATCTGTTCCATATGTAGAAAACCTGAACATTTTTGTTTCCCAAGGTGAAGTCAGAAAGCCCTTCAGTTCCAAAAACGGTACTTTTGTTCCTGTGTTTCTGGCTCACGGCAGAGTATGCATTTTGATAACCATGGAAGTGTGCCTTTTTGATAACCATGGAAGTGTGCCTTTTTGATAACCATGGAAGTGTGCCTTTTTGATAACCATGGAAGTGTGCCTTTTTGATAACCATGGAAGTGTGCCTTTTTGATAACCATGGAAGTGTGCCTTTTTGATAACCATGGAAGTGTGCCTTTTTGATAACCATGGAAGTGTGCCTTTTTGATAACCATGGAAGTGTGCCTTTTTGGTAACCATGGAAGTGTGCCTTTTTGATAACCATGGAAGTGTGCCTTTTTGATAACCATGGAAGTGTGCCTTTTTGATAACCATGGGGGTGCCTTTTTGCATCTAACTATTACTTACAGTATCTCACAGGAGAAGTTATATGTGGATGCCATTGATATCATTGGTTAGCCCTTTCAAGCTCTATGACTGTACTTGTTTTTGATTCATGAGAGCACCACTCTGACTGCCTGGCCATTATAAACAAACCATTCCAGCCACACATGGGCTTATTAGGCAATGATCCCTGTTCTCTCCCCAGGGTAGCAGGAGGAGTCCAGAACAGTAGATGTAAAACATTCAAATACCATCATCATGCATTCCTTACAAACAGAATTAGACCTGAGCATCTAGTATTTCTACTTATTTAGTGGTTGAAAGAGAATTTGAATAAAACATTATAAAAGTAATGTTTAAACTTGAAACACCATCATGTTTAGTGTAAAGGAAGGTTAGAGGGATACAACCCGGACATCATTGGTAATTTATCTTGCTAGCTTGCCATCATATTTAGTATAAAGGGAAGTTGTATGGCAACCCATGTCTATTTTTATCAGAGCGGCAAGTACACTCTTAGAAAAAAAGGTGCTATCTAGAACCTAAAAGGGTTATTCGGCTGTCCCCATAGGAGAACCCTTTGAAGAACCCTTTTTGGTTCCAGGTAGAACCCTTTTTGAGTTCCATGTAGAACCCTTTACACAGAGGGTTCTACATGGAACCCAAAATAGTTCTACCTGGGACCAAAGAGAGTTCTATCTGGGACCAAAAAGGGTTCTCCTATGGGTACAGCCGAATAACCATTTTGGAACCCTTTTTTCTAAGAGTGTACTGCTTAACACAAAGTAACTTTTGATGGTAATTACAGGAATAGATCAACTCTACCCTTGAGCAAGCTACTTTATAGATCCACTAACCACCAGGAAATGACTAACTGAAAACAGGAAGCCCCATACATGCCTCAGACATCCATTATCCTTTCCCTAATAGTCACAGTGCAAGGCCACTTTACTGCAACCTTTGTTTGTATTTTCGTAATAACAGTCTCTGAATTCTTATTACCATTGGTGGTCAGTTCCCATTTCAATCATTGTGGTCCTCTGTAGCTCAGCTGGTAGAGCACGGCGCTTGTAACGCCAAGGTAGTGGGTTCGATCCCCGGGACCACCCATACACAAAAAATTTATGCACGCATGACTGTAAGTAGCGTCTGCTAAATGGCATATTATTATTATTATTATTATTATTATTTAATTTACTATTCATATAGCAACAGAACGTTAAAACAGGGGTGAGAGCTTTTGCATTCCTACTACATCATTGTCAGACTGATAAATGACAGACATTACTTCCATCCACTCAGCTGACAGCAGGATCTGTATCATCACGATGATGATGATGCCCTGACATAAACCAGATACTAGGAAGCAGGGCAAATATTTTCAAGAGTGGTATAACTTCTAACAAATTTTTTCTCTCACTATGATTGGATTTGTTGGTATTTATTTGTAACTTTAATTAGGCTACCCTTTGCCTACTTTGATCTTAAGAGGAGAAGGGCCTCAATCAATAGCCTAATAATGATGGATCAAATTAAAACAATACTTTCTTCATTTTTAGCAGAATCCTAAAGTTACTAAGCACTTATTTTCTATCAACCATGATAAGGGAGATCTTTCAATGTGATCTTTCAAGTAATAACAGTCTCTGATATTTATTTATTATTTTATTTAACCTTTATTTAACTAGGCAAGTCAGTTAAGAACAAATTCTTATTTACAATGACAGCCTACCATATCTTATTACCATTGGCAGACAGTTCCCATTTCATTTGACTATTCATATAGCAACAGAACATTAAAACGGGTGAGAGCTTTTACATTCCTTTTAGAAAGTCCCATGTATTTCTATAAATAGGCCACACATAGCTGCAGGAAGTAGGGATGCGGAGAGTGCTGCAGCACCCCCTGAAAAATCTGAATTAAATCAAAAAAATTAAGTAGTGCACTGGGCCTTTACTAGTCCTGTATTAGCTGACCGATATAACCATCTGTAGCGTGAGCATGAAACAATTTCTCATGTGGCTTCAACTCAGTTTATGATAGTTAACCTACAGTCTGAGCAAAGATAAATTAGACAAGTCATCTTCTCATTGCAGGTCATTCCCTGGCCTTATGTCTCTCAGACACTGATTAATAGTGATGTGTTTGCTGCTTGAGTCAAGGTAAATAACACGTTGAGTCATGACTTGCACATCCGCTGCTGCACCCTGGCAGAACACTCACTCTGTCTCAGAGAACAAGGTGGGGTTGAGTTAGGAAACTCTCGGCTCTAGCCAGCTGTCTACTTCACTGAGCTCTGCCCTGAATACTGGAAACACATTATTTGTTAAGTTCCATATGTTAAGTAATGACGTTTTGAATATACTTAGGCTCAATAAATGCATAACTCCTAGTCATAACATGCCGTGATTTTTTATAGCCTGTGATCTCTGTCAATGTTGTTATTATACTATTGCAAAGTGGAAAGGAGAGGTACACATGAGCTGCTGTGTTCCAAGTGTAGGCTGTATCACAGTCCTCTATCCCCAGCTGCCTCTGTCCACCCACCCCACCCTCCTCTCATTCCAAAAATATACTCCACACAGCTACGGAAAATCCCTATGCACGGCTGCTCCGAATACGCAGTGGGACAGGACATCTCTCTTCATGGAAACTCATGCATAATCTTACTGCCCAATGTGCTTTGGCCCAAACTGAATCACAAACCTTTTAGAGAAGTAAGGAAATTAAAGGATGTTCCTAAAATGTAAATAAAATATTAGGATAAAAGTGTCAAATACGCAAGAGCACTTTACAAATGGATACAATGTATCCTGCAGAGAAGCGCGCCAAGAATAGTTTGAGTGAACAATTCAGGGCAAAGTATTACTTTTGAATAAACTTCAGCAAAGTTGGATAAGTGTCATCTGACTCCTTAAAGGTCATCATACTGACAGTGGCATCGTACCATGGACGGAATCCAAAGTCTGAAATGTTATTGTTTACTGTTGTACGGATAGGCAGAAAGAAGATAGAGCTAAGGAACTTTGCATACTGCCGCATCATCAATGCTTAGCAACCGCTCCCCTTCTCTATCTGCACCATACAGACGCAACAAATGATACCACTTGGAGAGTTTATTGCACTGTCAGTGTAACGTAGCCTAAAATGTGTTATGGTGGCTTTATCTGACAGTTTTATTTCCCTGGCTGGGCGAAGGACAGCTATTATATACCTGGATGAATTGTCGACAGTGTCTTTTTACTCTGGAATGCACATTGTGGACTAACAGTTTCATTTAGGATATTTGGCGTTCCTTTTCTGACTATGTGGAAGTGTTGAAATGCGCAAGACAGTGGATTCGGTTCCGCTTATAAATACTGTAGTTAATAATTACCGTAGTTCCGTGCTACATGTTTTTTTCTTCAATGTGTTTGGTTGATGTTGACAGTTTTATGTGACTGAACTCAATGAAACTTCACCTGCGGCTGTCCCTTTTGAATACGGTCAGCTTGAAGACAACGGTTTTACACACCACGAACTGTCATTGAACAACCATCCCGAAAGGAGTTAGAAGAAAGTGGAACTTACTTTTTTAAACTTTGTAATACCTCAACTAAATTATGACTTCGGTTTGGAAAAGATTACAACGCGTTGGCAAGAAAGCTTCAAAATTCCAGTTTGTGGCGTCCTATCAAGAACTTGTGTTGGAATGCACGAAGAAATGGTAGGTTATGTTATTTCTTTAGGTTAAACGAACTCATTTTCACAACATGCTATTGACTCACGTTATCTGCTCCCATGAAGGGCGTTTCTCCTTGTAATACTTATACTTTAAAAGTAGGTTTGCGCAGCCTACCACCATGGGCGCTGCTTTAGCCATCCTTGTCAAGAATCTATTCCATTTATTTGATCAAATCCATAACGGGCCGTATTCCATTTTCTTACTAGTGACAACAGTTACAGGAAGAGGGCAAAATGTAGTTAGTTCGTTGTTTCCTCTGATACAGTAATATGAATAAGAGAAGCGCATTAGCTGTCGTCACTAGCTTCCACAGCCACAAAGTCATAATTATGGCTAAACCCCGCCTATTTCTACAATTTATATTCTTACAATTTTATTTTAAACCTAACCTTTAACCTTAACCACACTGATAACTTTACGCTTAACCCTTACCATAAATGAAGACCAACGTTTTCTTTTACGCTATAGCCAATTTTGACTTTGTGGCTGTGAAATCGCATTGAGCCTCTACATTTCCGCGTTTATTGTAATTATAGTAGGCTATGGGCACAGGATAAACACTATTTTCACGCCACTTTGATACTAAAGTGACTTTGTCGTAACAGGTTAGAATTTACGCAGCAGTTCAGGATAATTAACATGGCAGGTTAGGAGACCGAGTTTAAGGTTAGGAAAATGTTTAGGGTTTGCAAAAAGACTCTCCTAACTTGCAACGAAAATCACTTCATATCGAAGTGGCGTGAGAAGAGTGTGTCCCATGGGCACAGTCCTAACTGTAGATTTAATGCACACAAAAGGCATCAATACTCCTACCCCTACCACAAGCCTATTACATCACTGTCAGACTGATAAAGACAGACATTATGTCAGTTCACTCAGCTGACAGGAGAATCTGTATCATGATGATGACGATGTCATGACATGACCAGATACTGGGAAGCAGGGCAAATGTTTTCCAGAGTGATATCACTTCTAACTTTATTTGTTTCACTATGATTGGATTTGTTGGTATTTCTTTGTAATGTTAATTAAGCTATCTGTGTTGATGTCATCAGACATGTCATCAATTAGGCTACCCTTTGCCTACTTTGATCTTAAGTGGAGAAGGGCCTCAATCAATAGCCTAATGATTGATCCAATTAAAACAATGCTTTTCACTCTTAGTGGAATCCCAAAGTTACTACATACTTATTTTCTATCAACCATGATAAGGGAGATCTCTACACAACAATGTAATTTGCAAACAGGCCTGCCAGCCATGCCATATCCTTGCGTATTTTGTCATGTTCCAACAGAGCTATTGTGTACTATACAGTAGTTTGATTAGATCATTATTTCTTAGCAGATAAGATTCAGACTTAGACTAAAACACAGACCATTTGAAATCTGACACAACGTCTGTACATGAGCCTTGGAGCGTTGAGCCCCATCATGGTGATCGATCGATTCAAATCAAAATGTATTTGTCACTTGTGCCAGAATACAACATGTCTAGACTTTAACATGAAACACTTACTTACAAGCCCTTTCCCAACAATGCAGAGTTAAAAAGAAAAAAAGAAAAAAAATAGTAACACAATAAAAAAACAATAACAAGGCTCTATACAAGGACTACCGAGTCACTGTGCAGGGGTACGAGGTAGTTGAGGTAATTGAGGTAATATGTACAGTGAGGGAAAAAAGTATTTGATCCCCTGCTGATTTTGTACGTTTGCCCACTGACAAAGACATGATCAGTCTATAATTAACATGGTAGGTTTATTTGAACAGTGAGAGACAGAATATCATCAAAAAAATCCAGAAAAACGCATGTCAAAATATTTATAAATTGATTTTGCATTTTAATGAGGGAAATAAGTATTTGACCCCTCTGCAAAACATGACTTAGTACTTGGTGGCAAAACCCTTGTTGGCAATCACAGAGGTCAGACGTTTCTTATAGTTGGCGACCAGGTTTGCACACATCTCAGGAGGGATTTTGTCCCACTCCTCTTTGCAGATCTTCTCCAAGTCATTAAGGTTTCGAGGCTGACGTTTGGCAACTCGAACCTTCAGCTCCCTCCACAGATTTTCTATGGGATTAAGGTCTGGAGACTGGCTAGGCCACTCCAGGACCTTAATGTGCTTCTTCTTGAGCCACTCCTTTGTTGCCTTGGCCGTGTGTTTTGGGTCATTGTCATGCTGGAATACCCATCCACGACCCATTTTCAATGCCCTGGCTGAGGGAAGGAGGTTCTCACCCAAGATTTGACGGTACATGGCCCCGTCCATCGTCCCTTTGATGCGGTGAAGTTGTCCTGTCCCCTTAGCAGAAAAACAAAGCATAATGTTTCCACCTCCATGTTTGACGGTGGGGATGGTGTTCTTGGGGTCATAGGCAGCATTCCTCCTCCTCCAAACACGGCGAGTTGAGTTGATGCCAAAGAGCTCGATTTTGGTCTCATCTGACCACAACACTTTCACCCAGTTCTCCTCTGAATCATTCAGATGTTCATTGGCAAACTTCAGACGGGCCTGTATATGTGCTTTCTTGAGCAGGGGGACCTTGCGGGCGCTGCAGGATTTCAGTCCTTCACGGCGTAGTGTGTTACCAATTGTTTTCTTGGTGACTATGGTCCCAGCTGCCTTGAGATCATTGATAAGATCCTCCCGTGTAGTTCTGGGCTGATTCCTCACCGTTCTCATGATCATTGCAACTCCACGAGGTGAGATCTTGCATGGAGCCCCAGGCCGAGGGAGATTGACAGTTATTTTGTGTTTCTTCCATTTGCGAATAATCACACCAACTGTTGTCACCTTCTCACCAAGCTGCTTGGCGATGGTCTTGTAGCCCATTCCAGCCTTGTGTAGGTCTACAATCTTGTCCCTGACATCCTTGGAGAGCTCTTTGGTCTTGGCCATGGTGGAGAGTTTGGAATCTGATTGATTGATTGCTTCTGTGGACAGGTGTCTTTTATACAGGTAACAAACTGAGATTAGGAGCACTCCCTTTAAGAGTGTGCTCCTAATCTCAGCTCGTTACCTGTATAAAAGACACCTGGGAGCCAGAAATCTTTCTGATTGAGAGGGGGTCAAATACTTATTTCCCTCATTAAAATGCAAATCAATTTATTAAATTTTTGACATGCGTTTTTCTGGATTTTGTTGTTGTTATTCTGTCTCTCACTGTTCAAATAAACCTACCATTAAAATTATAGACTGTTCATTTCTTTTTCAGTGGGCAAACATACAAAATGAGCAGGGGATCAAATACTTTTTTCCCTCACTGTATGTATTTAAGGTCTCTTCTTGTTTTACTTGTGTATTTTGTTTTGCGGTAGACGTGTTTAATGTACTGTAGTGATGTAAATTGTTGATTGCTGATAATTTGTATAACAAATATTTGTGCTTGATATTTGTAATTTGTACTTTGAATAAAAAGAAATGTAAAAAAAACTAGCTTGCTTGCTACATCTCGTCATCCGGTGTTACTCGGTCTGTGGAGCTAACAAAAACAACACCTAAACATCACCAGCTTTACTCACTATTCAGGATTCATGGTGTCCGAAATCTGTGTTTTCTCGGCCCTTGTCTGGGTCACACACTCATCTTCTTGGTAGCTAGCTGCGTTGCTATCGTAGTAGGAAAGAATACTTGTTGCTGTAGCTAGCTACCGTACAGTAAGTGTGTGGTTAGAGTCCAGTGAGTGTGCATAGAGCCAGTGCAAGAGACTCAGTGAGAAAAAAAAGGGTGTCAATGTAAATAGTCCAGGTAGCCATTTGATGAGCTGTTTAGCAGTCTTATGGCTTGGGGTAGAAGCTGTTCAGGTGCCTTTTGGTCCCAGACTTGGCGCTCTGGTACCGCTTGCAGTCTATGACTTGGGTGGCTGGAGTCTTTGACCATTTTTAGGGCCTTCCTCTGACACCGCCTGGTATAAAGGTCCTGGATGGCAGGGAGCTCGGCCCCAGTGATGTACTGGGCCGTACAGACTACCCTCTGTAGTGCCTTGCGGTCGGATGCCAAGCAGTTGCCATACCAAGCGGTGATGCAGCCAGTCAAGATGCTCTCAATGGTGCAGCTGTCATAGCCGTGGGAAGTAGGGGTGCTGAGGGTGCTGCAGCACCCCCTGAAAAATCACAATGAAAAAATATATATATAAAAATACATGTTTTTGAAAAAAATGTATGTTCACCACTGGGCCTTTAATAGTCCTGTATTAGCAGGCTGATATCTGTGGAGTGGGCAACCCCCCCCCCCCCCCCCGTCCCCCGTCCCCCGTCCCCCGTCCCCCGTCCCTGTCGAAAAACAAATTGCAGCACCCCACCTCGAAACGACTTCCTGCGGCTATGGCAGCTGTATAACTTTTTGAGGATCTGAGCGCCCATGCCAAATATTTTCAGCCTCCTGAAAAGGCGTTGTCGTGCCTTCTTTATAACCGTGTTGGTGTGTTTGGACCATGATATATCCTTATTGATGTGAACACAGAGGAACTTGAAGCTCTCCAGTTGAACTGGGTCTCACTTATAATAACACAAACATGAAGAGCGATCAAACTGTCCATCTCATGTTTTGTCATAAGCTGTTCTAACATGAGAACCAATGAGGGGGAGGTTTTTTGAGAGAAAGCCTTACTACTGGTTGCAGCTGTCAGGGTCAAGTCTTCAGTCTCAACAAATGAGCAGTCTTGCCTCTGGTTGAGTTTGTGACAGCTGGAGCATGACACAGCGGCCTGCTTTTGGTGTGAGTCATATTGGCCTCTGGTAACTCGGGAAGGAGTATGGGCATGCTTTCTCCTGTTGTAATTGATTTGCCTGTCCCAGTCTGTCAGTCTATTTCTGTGCCCTATGATGCCATAATGCTTTAAAAGCAACCCCCTCCCCACCCAAACATGCCATTCAGCTCCCTTTCAACTCCCTTCCTCTCTGTTGCTATAACTAGCCTGAAACCCGACACAGAACTGAATTTGACCCTGCTTTCCATGTTCTCCTCAACAGGCTGCATTAGCCCAATAACTCTCTATGTTAGTAAGGAGTCCCCTGCACCAGAGGAACTTCAATTCAGTTTAGATAGATCCTACAATAGTAATATGTTAAACACATTTCAGGTGTATTACCATTTACAAGCAATATTAGTGAGCAAACAGCTCAACTGTATTCTGGATACACATTAAATAGTTATAATAAAGTGGGAGGGGCTTGTTATAACATAAACAATCAGGATGGGAGGGTCTTCGGACTGTAGGTTAAAAGTGATTGTGCAATATGGGTCCTTCCTCCTGTGAGGTACCACACCCCCAGAGGCCTCAAGAAAACAGTGCAATTGGCCAGGTCAGTGCCATAATGCAGCTTCCTTCCATTCTTCCTGTGTTCCAGAAGCCAGAACTTCTCCTTTTAACAAACAATTGACAAACCAAGGGTTGGAAACTTCTCCCAGTCAGTGGAGACAGAACAACACTGGTATAATGTTACACATTGAGGACAGATAGAATAGCAATGAAAATGTATGCACTCACTAACTGTAAGTCGCTCTGGATAAGAGCGTCTGCTAAATGACTAAAATGTAAATGTAAATGAAATGTATCTGACAAACAGTCAAACATTTGTGTAGGCCTATGACATATTTCATGAATGCATTATGTAATGTCAAATCGATTCCGAGATTTACTTTTGATATTTCACCAATAGACATGTAGAACACCATATTATGTTTGACAGTAATTTCAGGTGGCCTAGTGTGAGATATTTAGTACATTTCTGTGATGTTAGAAATTAGTCCACGTGTTAAATGAGGAATGCATTTGTAAGGAACTCTGGACCAAAGCTATGATGTGTAGTACAGAACTGTAGTAGCAAAGGTCCCTGGCTTCACACACACACACACACACACACACACACACACACACACACACACACACACACACACACACACACATACACACACACACACACACACACACACACACACACACACACACACACACACACACACACACACACACACACACACTGTGTCTCTTCCAGCCCTTGGGTTGTGTGTATTGGGTTTCAGCTGATTGTGATCATGTGACTCTCACAAGATCCCCATTACTGTCTGCTATCCCTCTTCGTCATCTGTTGTGGAATAGAATATCTGTTAGGGCATGATTCCCTTGCGTTGTTCAGGTTGTTTAAAACAAACCTCTTCTTTGGAGCTAAACCACCAGGGATGACTCTGACTGGGGAAGCAGTCCCGTTCTTCTTAAAAATAATTGTTTCACAACAAATAACAGAGAACTTGTGTGTTGGTGTTTATATTAGTGTTTTTGTGGAAATGATTACATTGAAAATCCAAAGAAGAGAACTTATGCTGAATTATGTAAGGACTAAAAGAAGCTACAAAACAATTTATAGCATTTCTCACTGTCTCTTGTCTCATGTTTTGATGCATCACCTTTTTCTATGATTTCAGGCAACCAGATAAAGTGAGGGTGGTTTGGACCAGAAGAAATAGGCGTATGTGCTCCAAGGTAAATACTCACCCTGTTTTACCTACCTCAAAACAGCACAGCTCTCATCCCACCAGAATGGCAGGGATGCATTTCTATAACTTGTATCACGTTTTGATGTAGCCTTGATTTCTCTCTCTAGCTTCATGGATGGCAGCCGGGCATCAAGAACCCCTACAGGGGGATGGTGGTGTGGCCCGTACCTGAAAACGTGGATATCTCCGTCACACTCTTCAGGGTAAATATCACCCCATGGGTATTCATGAGTACATGAGTACACATGAGTACACTTTAGACATTTCTAATGTAAATTGATAACATACAAAAATGTGTGCAACATGTGTCGTTTTCCCCTGTCATTTCTATCTCTGTATTTACCCCACTAGGATCCACATTCTGATGTGTTTGAAGACAAAGACTGGACGTTTGTCATTGAGAGTGTGAGTGTAGTTTCTACCTCTATCTAATTACAATATCTCATAACGGCCCGCATTGAAATATGACATTTCATTAAAGATAATCTAATGGTACTACTAAAGCCCGCTCATGAATGTATTCCTGCTGCTTGCTTTGCAGGAGACAAAGGGTCAACGTAAGGTGTTGGCTGCAGTGGACGTGAATATGAAGAAGTTTGCCAGTGCCACTCCCACTCAGCAAGACCTGACATTGAAGCTGAAGCCCCTGTCTGTCAAGGTGGTGGAGGCAACTCTGAAGCTCTCCCTGTCCTGTGTGTTTCTCAGAGAGGGGAAAGCCACGTGAGTCCATCCCATAATATCCCAATAACGATAGATTCATAATTACCACCCATACTACGGTAATAACATCAGTAATGACATCATTATGTGTCAAGGTGACAATGCTGTGTTACTCTCCCACAGTGACGAGGACATGCAGAGTCTGGCCAGTCTGATGAGTGTCAAACCCACAGACATCGGTAACCTTGACGACTTCAACGAGAGTGATGAGGAGGAAGACAGGAGGTCCAGTGCTGGAGCTAGCATTAGCAAAGCTGCTGCAGGTACACTTCAATTATACACTCATACATACCTCGTACATTCTGCCTTCCTTTCTCTCCAATAAATAATGGCATCCTCACTTTTCTACCACAACTTTTTATTAGTCTCTCCTGTCCCTACCTTTTCCTTCTCACGCTTTCTTTCACCACTTTCTCTGCCAGTTCCTCTGCCAGTTCCTCTCCCTCCTGCCCACCTTTGGGTCTCCTTTCCAATCATCCTACCACAATACTTTATGTATAAATGTATAAATTACCATCATTTAGAATAATTTTTTAAAAACATTATATAGAACTGATGGATCCTCTTTGATATGATTTTACGTTAGTCACCACATTACATCTTCAAAATCTTCCATTGAATCAGATACTTTCCCCATAGATATCAGAAAGCCAAGAAGAAAGTAATAGAGATACATCTCTATTAGCAACAGTAGTCCTCAGTAACAATTTATATGCTATGCAGCTAGCTAGTTTTCTTGGAATTTTCAGTTAAAAAGTTGTATCTGATTTATGACGGTCATTTCATTTGCAACCTGTCATATCATCCTTCCCGCCTTCTCTTAATCTTTTTCTATTTCTACTCTTCCACATCTTCATCTCCCTCCCTCTCTCCATCCCCCTCTCCATCCGATAGCCTGTGGGAAAGAGAGTGGCAAAGCTGGTACTGCCCCTGTCCCCCCGACCCCCTCTCCACATCCACCAACCCGTTTCAGACATGCACACTCTGTGCCACCCTCCCCTGAGCCCCCCAGGCCACCAGTGCCCCCAGTCTCCTTGGTGCCCTCAGTTTCACCTGTTCCACCAGTTCCATCGGTTCCATCAGTTCCATCCGTTCCCTCAGTTCCCTCAGTGTCCTCAGCCTCAGTTCAATCAGTTCCATCAGTTCCATCGGTTCCATCAGTTCCATCCGTTCCCTCAGTTCCCTCAGTGTCCTCAGCCTCAGTTCAATCAGTTCCATCAGTTCCATCGGTTCCATCAGTTCCATCCATTCCCTCAGTTCCCTCAGTGTCCTCAGCCTCAGTTCAATCAGTTCCACCAGTTCCATCGGTTCCATCAGTTCCATCCGTTCCCTCAGTTCCCTCAGTGTCCTCAGCCTCAGTTCAATCAGTTCCATCAGTTCCATCGGTTCCATCAGTTCCATCCGTTCCATCAGTTCCCTCAGTGTCCTCAGCCTCAGTTCAATCAGTTCCATCAGTTCCATCGGTTCCATCAGTTCCATCCGTTCCCTCAGTTCCCTCAGTGTCCTCAGCCTCAGTTCAATCAGTTCCATCAGTTCCATCGGTTCCATCAGTTCCATCCGTTCCCTCAGTGTCCTCAGCCTCAGTTCCATCAGTTCTACCAGTTCCACCCGTTCCATCAGTTCCACCAGTTCTGTCAGTTCCATCAGTTCCCTCTGCCTCCGTGCCATTAGTGGCCCTAGGACCCCCAGTTCCCTCAGTGCCAGCCTTTACCCGCTATCAACCACTGCCCAAAATCTTCCATCCCAGCAGCTGCTCAGGTACCTGCAGCCAGACAGATAGACTGAATGATGCTGCCTTGACAAGTGCTTACTGAAGCTTCACTTGTTTCTCAATCTGCATGATGGAACTCCCTGAATTGCCTATGAATTGCTTAACATTTTGTTCAACAGAAGTATCCCCCAGCAAGGGCATGGTATTGGAATGTCTGGACTGTCTAATGAGACTGATTTTGAGCAACATAGAAATCACTAGTAGCATCAACCAGGGGCACTTTTGAAGACTTCCAGTGTTACTGTAAGATAACAGAAATGTTCTCTGCATTATTAACAGGAAATTGTGGTTTAGAAAAAGTAAAAGTAGCATCACTGCACGTCTTAAGGCATGCCTATCTGTAGTATCCCTCTTTCCACCAAGTCATCGCTCTCATTCATTGGTTTCTGCTATTTTTCTATTTCTGCTATTGTTCTTCCCTCTTTTCACTTCCTTTTCTTCTTGCTGCTAGCGCCTGTGTCTTTTCTGAGTAGTCTCCCGGGGGCTCTGAGTGGCCTTGCAGTGGACTTGAAGCCTCGGGGTGTTGGCCTCTCTCAACCCCCCTCCGACCCACAGAGAGGTACCAGACACATGGCAGTTCATAGGTCAAAGGCCACCTGCTTTATCACATTAGCCGTTATATGTCTTTAAGTTGGACTCATAGAGGTTTGAGTGTCTCATGCTGTAGTTTTTCTTACACTATCATCTTTCTGGCCTCTCCTGTCTTTTATCCCCCTCTTCCTCTACGGCAGCTCGTTCAAATGTCTTCAGACCTCAGATTGTATCAACTCATCAGCGTCCCTCCTCCCCCTCTATCTTTTCCTCTGCTGCTTCTCCTCAAGGCAAAAACACTGTTACTGCCCTATCCCAGCCAGACCCACCGCTGCTGAAACCCCAGCTCCCAAAACCTGAGCCAGGTAGCTAAAGCTGATAACTTTGTGTTACTTCTGAAGTTATAGCTTGTGTAGCTTGCTTCTCTTCAGTTGTATTATCTTGGAGTGTGAGCCAAAGCTGACTTGCTTAATTCTGGTTGCTGAACTAATTATATCATTTTTCTCTTTCTTTGTTTACCTACAATCATAAATATTTGTCTTACTACACTCTCTCTCTCTCTCTCTCTCTCTCTCTCTCTCTCTCTCTCTCTCTCTCTCTCTCTCTCTCTCTCTCTCTCTCTCTCTCTCTCTCTCTCTGTCCTCTCTGTCTCTCTCTCTCTCTCTCTCTCTCTCTCTCTCTCTCTCTCTCTCTCTCTCTCTCTCTTTCTCTCTCTCTGTGTCGATCCCCTTCATCACCTCTCTGCTCTCAGCCTCAGTCCGGCAGAGGGAGTGGGGGAGGCCCAGGCCTGTGTCAGGCCCCTCTGGCCTGTCCCCCTCCTATTTCTGTCCCTCTCCCAGAGATGCCATGGCCCCTGTCCCCCTGTTGACTAGCCCAGACCTGGATGCCCTGTGTGACCATTACTGTCCTCCCCCTTCCATCCCCTTCCCTAAGTCCTCACCTCCTGTCAAATGTATTTTCTCTCACGACCCTCCAACTCCTCACCCTAACACCCACCATAAACTTGCCCTAGTCGTTGCCCCTCTCTCTGACCCTCTACCCAAGCCTGTCCCTCTGCTTCCTGCTACTGTCCCTGCCTTCCAGTCAGGTACTGAACCAACAGGTCTCACAGCATGAATACCATTAGGGCATGGGAGGGCATGGGAGGACAACTAGCTCCAAGACATCAGCCTTGTTTCATCAATAAAACCATTCTGGACAGTTTGTCCCTTGCCCTACACTGCCCGTTGGCAAAGCACTGAGACAACCACAATATTCTACGGCCAAATGTAGCTTTAACTAAATTCATTTCAATGCCTGTGACAGTGCTGAAGACACAGTACCAATGAAGTGGTGTACTTAGCTAAAAATATATCCTGCACAAAGTCCCTGTTGTCTCTAGACAGTAGGTCACATTCGGTTGCAGCTGTAATTGAGTAGATAATTATGTTACTGCTGCCAGTAAAATGTCAGTTCTGACAAGACTTACATACTGTATAAATCATGTTATGCACGGTTGAGTGTCAACAATGCCATAGTTGTACACACTGATGCAATGTGTATGTTTAAATGGAAATAACATAATATTGTACGTTATCCCCATGACATGATGTGTGTATGTATGTGTGCTTGTTTTACAGAGATACAGAGGGAGTTGAAGACTCTCACAGAAGAGGAATACCACAGTCCTACTCTTGGTGAGACATTCTGCCATGTTCTCGCTATATTTACACTATCAGTCTAATGTACAAAGTGTACTAACCACCGATATGTATGAGCCCTGAATAACACTCAAATGCAGTCATAAAGATATTATTTTATATAATACAATTATCGAAACAGTATTTACTATATTGCATTATAAACTGGGTGGTTCGAGCCCTGAATGCTGATTGGCTGAAAACTGTGGTATATACCACGGGTATGCAAAAACATGTATTTTTACTGCTCTAATTACGTTGGTAACCAGTTTATAATAGCAATAAGTCACCTCAGGTGTTTGTGGTGTATTGCCATTTACATTTACATTTACATTTACGTCATTTAGCAGACGCTCTTATCCAGAGCGACTTACAAATTGGTGCATTCACCTTATAGCCAGTGGGATAACCACTTTACAATATTTTTTATATATTTTTTCTGATTATTATTATAATTACATTTTTTAAAATTTAGAAGGATTACTTTATCCTATCCCAGGTATTCTTTAAAGAGGTATTGCCAATATACCACGGCTAAGGGCTGTATCCAGGCACTCCGCGTTGCGTCGTGCTTAAGAACAGCCCTTAGCCGTAGTATATTGGCCATATACCACACCCCCTCGGGCCTTATTGCTTAATTATAGCATAATCTAAATGTTTTACTCCCTGATTGCTCTAGGGCCGAAACTGTCAGAGCAGCAAAGGCTGTCTGTCTCCAGTGAGACCGTTCCCCTGGCCCTGAGAGGGAACGAGTCTCCTCGCTCCCGCAGGACCGCTGGCACCATCATGATCGCCAACCAACAAGCCTCTGCTGAGAAAGCTGTGGGGTTGAAAGATACCAGTACCATTAAAGGGTGAGTTCCTAGTGATGGTATACCATACATACAGCCACTTGTCAGCTTGGACCTCACACTTCGATTTGTAAATGCTGTTGTTGCTGTGTTGTTGCTGTGTTGTTGCTGTGTGATGTAGTGGGCAGTGGTATTCAAAGTCGGGGTCTAGTGGTGTGGTAAGAGTACAGATTATTGTATGGGACAATATACAAACGTTTTTGAGAAAGATTATTTGAAAAATGCAATTCTATTGAGTAAATGTATTTATTTTGAAAATGTAATGAATTGAAAGTTATTTGTTGATGTAAAAATTGCCTTTTCGTCTCTATTGGGTGCTATAATTTGTTGCCTAACCATAAAATGGATGCCAATGGATGCAAAAGTTTTATGGAGTGAAAGGAATCATTGCCATGATTTCAGCTTTACAGCAACAGTGCAGAGACATGCTGTAGTCTCATAAAGGTCATAAATAGGCCTAGGTCTCTAGCATCTTGTGTTTTCTATTTATACCCAACTACATAGCATGCTTCCATCCATACCCATAATTACTCACCCCCTCCCCTCTGTCTTGTTAGTCCTACTTTCATTTCACCTTCTATAAAGCAAAACCCTCCCTAACACTACTGGTTCATGACCTTGCCAATGTGTGTGACCTGCAACCTCCCTGCTCTCAATGTCTGAGCTCTGACACCAAGTATCTTTGTCCTCAGTTCTGGGCAAGATGGCGACCCAGCAACTGGTGTTCCTGGCCCTATTCCCACAGAAGTCTCAGCAGAGCTTATTCCAGCCCTCCCTCCTCCATGGCCTTTCTCTAGCCCAGAGACAGAAGCACCAGAGAGCACTACCCATAAAGAGCCTTCTACCAACATCCTGGGAGCTTTTAGTGCTGATAACACGCCATTGGCTGAAAAGAAGCCTGACTTTAAACAGAAATCCAATGAGACCAAAGAAGTGCCTTCTCAACCTGCCAAACCAGAGGACACCTCTGCCTCAACCCCGGGTGAAACACCTTTTAGTGCAGACAAGCCGCCATTGGCTGAGCCTGAGCTCGACCTTGATGACATAATCATAGAGACGCCTGATCCGTCAGTCATGGCCGATAACTTATTTTTGGAGGACAATGCAGATGAAGAAACATCAGAAGTGGCCGCAATAAAGAGGTCGCCATTCAGCACCTTGAAGACTGAAATGGAACATCAGGATGGAGGGTAAGTGTGACATTCTGTAGGCAAGTACACACTCACACTGTGCTGCAGTTTCATAGTTTTTCCTCATCCTTATGTGACAATATATAATAACATGTCATCCTTACAAGCCTAAACACTATACTGAACCATTTTACACTGACACCATTTTTGTATTTATTGAAAGCTCATCTTTGTTTCTCGTTAACACACAAATATATTTACCATTGCAAGTGTATTCACACACGTGCACACATACACACACACACACACGGGCGCGCATGCACACACACACACACACACTTCTGATAATAATATCTCCATTGATGCTCAGACCCTTGACGTCATTGTCCCTGTCCACACAGTAGTGAACAGGCAGCTGATCCAGAGTCGACTGGAGTGCCAACATCAATAGAGCTCCATGTAGAGCACGGGCCAGTTGACACAAAGACACTTCCAGATATTGGAAACATCACATGGGAAGATGTAGCTGAGAAGCACACCAAAGGCCCAGAGCAGCCCGTTGATAAGAAGCAGGAGAAACAGAGCCCAGTGCCTGCTTTGACCAACAGGTCAGATGAAGACAAGGAAATTATGAAAAACATGGCTGCCCTGAAGGCAGGTCCTCCCAGCAAATACAAGGAAATTATGAAAAACATGGCTGCCCTGAAGGCAGGTCCTCCCAGCACTACATCCACACCAGCTGAGCCGCCTAGTATTCCTACTCAAGAGCTCCCTCCTCTGGAGAAAATGCCAATCAAAGCAAAAAGGCTGTCATGGGCTGAGGAGGTTATGGGCTCCAAAGAGAATGATAAGAAACAGATGGACCATCAACCCCGGGATGAGAAGGCCTCATTATCACAAGCTGATGAGCACAAATCAGCCCCTCTGGAAGTTCAAGTGAACAAGAGTGTAGAGGAGTCACATAGTTCTGAATGGAATGCAGCGAAAGAGGATGCAGGCGTTTTGGAAGAACACAGAGGAGATGCTGACTGTGTTCGGAAAGAGCGGTAAGTGAGAGCACATCTTATTAACAGTTTCCTCTCTACGAAATGTCCTTTAACCTTGTCAACCTTTCTATTGTCTAACTCTCTCTTCCTCTGTGCCACTCCATGTCCTGTTCCATGCCACCTTCTGTCTCTCTTTCAGTTCTTCTGAGCATGTGTCATTAAAAGCAGAAAGGTTTCCCTTGTCAGGCAGTGTCAGTGTAGATAAAACAGTAAAAATAGATGTACTATCAAACAGTAGTAATTCAATTTATATGGGTAAAACCATGGATGCTACTCCAATAAGCTTAGAGACACCCAAGATGCCTGAACCCCCTCAATATGAAGTCCTTGAACCTATGATCCAGTTCAGCTTCACATTAGACACCATAGCTGAGGATGCGATGGAGAATGTAGAACTGCCAGAGATCCTGGCGCAGGCAGAGGTTCCACTCTGGAAGGCCCTGGCGCAGGCAGAGGTTCCCCTCTGGGAGGCCCTGGAGGAGAAAGCTAAGGATCAGGAACCAGAGCAGGACTCTGGAGAGGTGATGATCAAAGACGAAGTCCTCAGGGAGGAACAGGGTGAAGTAGATGAGAACATGTTAGTGCCAGACGTGGAATCACTGGAGACAGGGTAAGTGTGGAAGGAAGGAAGGCATCTATATAACACTGAGAGTAATTGATGACATCAGGGATACCCTAGTTCAAGATTACCATATAGGTGTGAATTATGGTCTGGTGGTTATCCTTGGCAATACTTCAAATGTATGACGATGCCTGGCCCTGTCCTACAGTTATTTTGAGTGTGTCTGATCTGTAAATATTCCCTGTATCTAGGCTAATTATGCCATAATATTGATGTCCTTCCCGTATGTTTGCCATCTCGCCCTCTCAGCTCAGACAAAGATGTTAAGCCAGAAGCTGCTATTATCAGAGATGAGGGTCACAAGCAAATCATCTCAGATGAATCAGAGCTGCTCCAAATGCCACCTACCCCAGAGCCCACTGCCCAGTCTTCTGAATCACTTGTAAAACAGATGATTGAAGAGGAAAACAGTAAAGACAGTGAACCATCAATATCACTGTCTACTACACCCCCTCTGGATCTCCCCGCAAAGGCTGTCGGTAGCTCCACCATGGAGCGCACATTGCCGTTAGACACGCTTGTGTCATTGGAAGCAGACATTTCTCCAGCTGGAGAGTCAGATGTTAAGAAGGAAGAGGGGCCACACGATATGAAGTGTCCTCCCAGTAGAGAGGCTGTAACTGAGGCAGAAAGGCCTCTGTGGGCTACTTTAGAGGAGGAAACTAAGGAGAAGGGGACAGAGGGAGTAGGCATGAGCACATTGGAGCCAACAAAGAGTACCTTGCAAACAGGGTAAGTTACTGGGGGTTGAACACGTCACAGAATGACATAAAGTGTCTGTTAGGTACATTTACACTAGACATGCATGCTTGTGGTGGTGTTGACATTTTAAAAATGTTTTAATGCTCGCCAAAAAGTGCCAATAACACTGCGTTTAGGCTATAACTTTTCTGGAGACTAGTCATTTTCTCCTTATTAGAAATCATGACCTACTCTATGGATTCCAGTCCTTGTGCTGGTTTCAGACTACTGTCCAATCAAGTGTCTCATTTCATATCTGTATCTGTGGCAGCCTATCTAGACAGGTGTCTGTAGCATTTTCCTCCCATCTCCCTCCAAGTAAAATAGAGAAACAGACATTTACTTTGACTGTGACAGTTCAGGAGCCTTTGACACATCATCGACTGAGGAGGCCCAATTCACCCATGATATCTGGAAAGATTAGCTGTTGTCAACACTGAGAGTGAAGAAGGTGCAAGTCAGTCAGGTTCCTCCATGTTCGGCCCAGGACAAGCCAACAATGAGCAGCAGGTAGATCCAGTGTTGAAGAAGAGCTCTGAGAGCACATCAGAGTTTAGTACAAGAGAGGTGTTGGAAGATGAGCGGGTTTTGGACAGGCTGGAGCAGGTTCCTGTAGCTGTACGGGAGGAAGGCCTTGATGTTTTCATGATAGTATTAGTGAGTGCCCTGTACATAAAAAAACAAAAAAAACATTCAGCAGACGCTCTTATCCAGAGCAATTAGGGTTAAGTGCCTTGCTCCAGGGGCACAATGGCAGATTTTTCACCTAGTCGGTTCGGGGACTCAAACCAGCGGCCTTTCGGTTACTGGCCCAACACACTTAACCACTAGGCTACCTACCGCCTGTACAGAGGGTAAGTCTGACAGGCAACCGAGGCTTGCTCAGCTTTGTCAGCTTTGATCAGCATGGCCACAGGCATTTTAGGGACATTTAGTACCCTTGCTTGTGAAAGCATGTTACCAATAAGATGCGAAGCTTAAATAACAAAAAGTTAGTTTAAACCATTTTTACAGATTTCAGATCTATATGTATAAAGATTGGATGGAAATATGAACAAGTAGTAGGTGTTCAACAATGTCACCTTGAAGTATTTCTTAAAGTCTGCATCGTCTATGCCTGCTGTAAAAGTAACCTAAAAACATAGTTCAAATATCCCCATTCCCTAGTTATGAGACTGTGACTTCTATACTTCAGCCATCTGGACCGATGTCTAATGACAATGTGGTCTCAGAGCATTTCATATTATTCTGTATGTAAATCCGAGAGACTCCATTTAGTATGATATGTTAAGTTTCATATATGGTATGTTTTAATTTGTGGATGTCCATCATCCATTTCGTATGATATTAATTACAATTTGTGCTATTTGTTGCGAATTGCAATTCTTATTATTTGTTACGAATTGCAATTCGTATGATTTGTTTTACGAATTGCAATTCATACAATATGTTATGAATTGCAATTCGTACAATATGCAACGGATTTGCTAAATGTACAGTATGTTACGAATTTGCAACACATTACGAAATTCCAATTTGTTGTAGCTAACGTTAGCTATGGGTGGCTAGGTGGCTAACGCTAATGTTAGCTAGCTGGCTAACCTTAGCTAGGCTAGGGGTTAGGGGTTAGGGGTTAGGGTTAGGAGTTAGGTTAAAGGGTTAAGGTTAGGGTTAGGGGAACGTTTAGCTGAAAGGGTTAAGGTTAGGGGAAGGGTTAGCTGAAAGGGTTAAGGTTAGGGTTAGGGGAAGGGTTAGCTAATATTCTAAGTAGTTGCAAAGTAGCTTAAAAGTAGGAAGTAGTTGCAATGTTGCTAATTAGCTAAAATGCTAAAGTTGTCGGTGATGAGATTCGAAACACCCAACCTTTGGGTTGCTAGATGCTCGCGTTAAGTAACCTTCTGTCTTATGTAACCATACCAAACATAACATATCATACTAATTTGAATATCCCGGATTTACGTTTACTATGTTACGTCTAGTTTATGAGACCAGTCTGCTAATGATGAGGGGTAGGAGAACCAGACTCAAGACCACTCTCTCCATCTGGGTTTGAGATCCTACCACTTGAAGACTATTCTGATGCATTAGAGGAACTCCCAGTCATGGAAGAGAAACATCACCGGTCCAAGGGACCCACAAGAATTAAACAAAGCTCTCTACAACTGAAGAGACTGGCAGGATAAGCTTAGTGGAGACTTTGCGTTTAGCTACTGTGGAGCAAGAGATGATCAAGGACACAACCAGCAAAATTGAGCAAGAGGCCGAACCACTGAAGGAGACCACCAAACCACATAAAGACACTACCAAACCTCAGAAGAGATCACCAAACCACACAAAGAAACCACTGAAGGAGATCACAGAACAACCCGAAAGAGATCACAGAACCACTAAAGGAGATCACAGAACCACTGAAGGAGATCACAGAACCACTAAAGGAGATCACAGAACCACTGAAGGAGATCACAGAACCACTGAAGGAGATCACAGAACCACTAAAGGAGATCACAGAACCACTGAAGGAGCTCACAGAACCATTGAAGGAGATCACAGAACCACTGAAGGAGATCACAGAACCACTGAAGGAGATCACAGAACCACTGAAGGAGATCACAGAACCACTGAAATAGATCACAGAACCATTGAAGGAGATCACAGAACCATTGAAGGAGATCACAGAACCACTGAAGGAGATCACAGAACCACTGAAGTAGATCACAGAACCACTGAAGGAGATCACATAACCACTGAAAGAGAAGACTGTGAAGGGTAAACCAGAGATGGATGGACGTCCACCTGTGTTACCACCTCTAGAAAACAAAAATTATTAAAAAGCCGTACAGACAATTTCCCACCGCTGAGAGAAGCAGAGCTGGATGAAATAGCTTTTGAAGAGTGCTTGGAAGAAAATACAAACGAAGCCACCCCCATCGTTGACGACACTAAAGCCTATAAGGAGATGATCCAGTGTTCATCTCTGACAGCGATTCAGATGAGTTGGAGTTTGAGATGGGCAGGAGGATATGGGCAAAGTGTGGCTGGCAGAGTTGTACATACAGTAGATGGAGGGAAAGTGCCTGAGCTCCTGTCGCTCTCTGCACTACTTTCCTGCAAGGTTTAATGAGGCAGATTTTATTCATGCAATAGGAATGGAGCTCTGTCAAGTTGTGACTTGGTTTTTGTCCACAGGCATTTGGAGTGGAACAGTATTTTCTTTGCTTATACTGAGTGATCTTGTAAAGATTTCTCGTAAAGTTATTTCTCATGAACTTGTGTTTTTTATATATTTGTGTGTAGAATCTACTACCATGCCTGAGGAGAAAGTTGAATTGTTGGATGTTAGTGCTGAATGTGCATTTGCATGTGAATGTAAACGTTTTTGCAAACTGAACCCAGTGAAATGTTTTCAGGGAATGTAACTGGACATTGCTGATAGTGAGCTTGCCGTGTTGATGTTTACTGTGTGGCAGTCTGCATTTTGGGGAATTGATTGAATTGCTATTGTAGCCATGCCAGATGGCTAACATCGATACCTCTGTTTCACAGTCCAGGGGTGTTATCATCGTCACCACCTGCTCCACACGAGGACACACCCCCTGATGGTTTATCCACACAGCAGGCCATGTCACTGTTGTCCCCTCCTGCAGGCCCTGTTGCCAGAACCGTTGAACTGGAGCCACTTCCCTGTCGTCACAGCAAAAATAAAAAAATCACTCCTCCGGTGCCTCTTCAGGAAGTAGGCCCAGAGAGAGTTAGTCAAGACACAGCGCCTGTTGCCAGTTGCTTGGCTCCACCAAAGCAAAAGAAAAAGAAAACTGTCCCTCCACCAGATAATACAAATAATGACGCAATGGCACAAGAGAGCAGCACACCTAGCTTAACAAAGGAGACCATTAACACTGATGCTGAAGAGGAAGACATTCCAAAACCACTAATCCTCGCCATGGAAACAACTTCTTCAGATAGCATTCTGGTGACAGCCAAAGAGAAGGGAGCCAATGACGAGTATTATCTACCAAAGGAGGGTGACGATGAGAAAGATGTCTCTGTCAACTCAGTGGTCCCATGGCCTATACCCCCCTCTCAACCTGGAAGACCTACTACATGTCCCAAGGTCCCTCACGTAAGCCCTACAGAACCCCGCAAAGACGACCTAAGCCTCATAAAGGAGGAAAAGTTGCTGCTGGCTAAGATTAGTCAGATGGCAGGAGAAGATGTACCTGCCCCCCGCGTCAGAAAACGCCTGATACCCTTCTTGCGTGATGAAGACCGCTCTCTGAACCCAGAAGATCTCCCAGCCTCCGAGGCCAGTGAGGAGCAGGAGACTCCATCACCAGTGATCCCCCAGAAAGTCAGTCTATACAGGCCTGAGCCAAACCACCTAGACCTAGATGGAAGGAAAGGTCAACAGGAAATCATTTGTGAGCCTTCTACCATAGCCACCTCCTCATCAAATAGTAACCCATCAGAGACTATTACTGATGCTAATCAGGGACAGGTCCTGGAGGACCTGGTGGCAACCACTGAGTGTATGACATCATCAGACTCCGCTGTGAACTTGAGAGTCCATTCAAAGGAACCAATGGAGGGTAAGGAAAGTATACTGAGGACAGAAACAGGGACAGATGGGGTATCTGTTGACACAGGACTTGAAATAGACAATGGCCCGCTCTCTACCGTTTCTTGTGTCACTGCCCAAGAGGAGTGCTTGTTATTGACTGAATTAGTGGAGACAGTCTCCAATAAGAAGGTGCCTGAATCAAGGGTTGAGGAGGAAGAGGAGGAAGAGGAGGGCCTTGAGATTGAACAGGATGCTACTCTGTGCACTGTAGATACATCAGTGGATAAACAGTAAGTTGGCAGAACAATTTGAAGTTAATTAGATCATGTCATCTGGCTCTTGTAACTACTTGCACAGTTAAATAATATTCACATTAATCCGTGCTTAACTTAAACTGTTTTTGTTTGTTTGCAGGATATACAGTAAGCTCCAAAAGTATTGGGACAGCGACAATTTTGTTGTTGTTTTGGCTCTGTGCTTCAGCACTTTACATTTGAAATGGTACAATGACTGTGAGGTTAAAGTGCAGACTGTCAGCTTTCATCCTTATCAGGTGAACCATTGAGGAATTACAGCACTTTTTGGACATAGTCCCCCCATTTTAGGGGACCAAAAGTATTGGGACAAATTCACTTATGTGTATTAAAGTAGTAAAAAGTTAAGTATTTGGTCCCATATTCATAGCACGCAATGACTACATCAAGCGTGTGACTCTACAAATTAGTTGGATGCATTTTCTGTTTGTTTTGGTTGTGTTTTAGATTATTTTGTGCCCAATAGAAATGAATGGTAAATAATGTATTGTGTCATTTTGGAGTCACTTTTATTGTAAATAAGAATAGAATATGTTTCTAAATACTTCAACATTAATGTGGATGCTACAATGATTATGGATAATCCTGAATGAATCATGAATAATGATGAGTTAGAAAGTTATAGACGCAGAAATATCATACCCCCAAAACATGCTAACCTCTCACCATTACAATAACAGGGGAGGTTAGCATTTTGGGGGGGATGTGATATTTGTGCGTCATTTCAAATCCCAACTGCTAGAGTACATAGCCAAAACAACAAAAAATGTGTCACTGTCCCAATAATTTTGGAGTGTATAACTGAAACGAAATCTGATATGTATTCTGAAATTATACATATCAGCAAACTTGACTTTGCTGTCCCATCATCTTATTTATCCCATTTCTGTCCGTATAGATCTGAGACGGCTGAAGGGGGAAAGAAGTCCAGTGACCTGGCTGTCCCAACGAGATGCTCTAAGAAAGCTGCTCAGACATCCTCACCAGACATCACAACCCAGGGGAACATCCAGCATCCAGCTACCAGCTCAGGCAGTGAAGACCCACAGTCCAATGGACAGAACCCAGCAGTTAAGGAGGTCCCCTCTGGTCAAGCATCAGATACGGTTGTACCACCTCGACGCAGCAAGAAGAAACTCCTTCCCTCTCCTGGGGTCTTTCAGGAAGTTGCCCCAGAGGCCTCCACTCCCACGGCGGACAAGGACGAAGCCCATGGGAAGGATGTGTTAGTCATCAGCCATGAGGTACATTTGATTAAGTGCATATAAACAGTTAATTATATTTAAAACACAGCTGAAGATTGAATATGTCAATGAGAATGTCATCTATAACAGGTCTCTCTCCCTCTGTCCCTCTCTCTTTTTCCTTCACACCCTCCTCAGATGTCTGGTCCTCTGCCCAGTCCTGGTCTTGTGTCCTCCAGCAAGTCTTTACTGGAGTGGTGCCAGGAGGTTACAAAGGGTTATAAGGGAGTGAAGGTCACCAATTTTAACACCTCCTGGCGTAATGGTCTGGCTTTCTGTTCCATCCTGCACCACTTCTATCCTGACAAGATGTAAGCACTTAATCACTAAACAGATACAGTGGGGGAAAAATGTATTTAGTCAGCCACCAATTGTGCAAGTTCTCCCACTTAAAAAGATGAGAGAGGCCTGTAATTTTCATCATAGGTACACGTCAACTATGACAGACAAATTGAGATTTTTTTTCTCCAGAAAGTCACATTGTAGGATTTTTAATGAATTGATTTGCAAATTATGGTGGAAAATAAGTATTTGGTCAATAACAAAAGTTTCTCAATACTTTGTTATATACCCTTTGTTGGCAATGACACAGGTCAAACGTTTTCTGTAAGTCTTCACAAGGTTTTCACACACTGTTGCTGGTATTTTGGCCCATTCCTCCATGCAGATCTCCTCTAGAGCAGTGATGTTTTGGGGCTGTCGCTGGGCAACACAGACTTTCAACTCTCTCCAAAGATTTTCTATGGGGTTGAGATCTGGAGACTGGCTAGGCCACTCCAGGACCTTGAAATGCTTCGTACAAAGCCACTCCTTCGTTGCCCGGGCGGTGTGTTTGGGATCATTGTCATGCTGAAAGACCCAGCCACGTTTCATCTTCAATGCCCTTGCTGATGGAAGGAGGTTTTCACTCAAAATCTCACGATACATGGCCCCATTCATTCTTTCCTTTACACGGATCAGTCATCCTGGTCCCTTTGCAGAAAAACAGCCCCAAAGCATGATGTTTCCACCCCCATGCTTCACAGTAGGTATGGTGTTCTTTGGATGCAACTCAGCATTCTTTGTCCTCCAAACACGACAAGTTGAGTTTTTACCAAAAAGTTCTATTTTGGTTTCATCTGACCATATGACATTCTCCCAATCCTCTTCTGGATCATCCAAATGCACTCTAGCAAACTTCAGACGGGCCTGGACATGTACTGGCTTAAGCAGTGGGACACGTCTGGCACTGCAGGATTTGAGTCCCTGGCGGTGTAGTGTGTTACTGATGGTAGGCTTTGTTACTTTGGTCCCAGCTCTCTGCAGGTCATTCACTAGGTCCCCCCGTGTGGTTCTGGGATTTTTGCTCACCGTTCTTGTGATCATTTTGACCCCACGGGGTGAGATCTTGCGTGGAGCCCCAGATCGAGGGAGATTATCAGTGGTCTTGTATGTCTTCCATTTCCTAATAATTGCTCCCACAGTTGATTTCTTCAAACCAAGCTGCTTACCTATTGCAGATTCAGTCTTCCCAGCCTGGTGCAGGTCTACAATTTTGTTTCTGGTGTCCTTTGACAGCTCTTTGGTCTTGGCCATAGTGGAGTTTGGAGTGTGACTGTTTGAGGTTGTGGACAGGTGTCTTTTATACTGATAACAAGTTCAAACAGGTGCCATTAATACAGGTAACGAGTGGAGGACAGAGGAGCCTCTTAAAGAAGAAGTTACAGGTCTGTGAGAGCCAGAAATCTTGCTTGTTTGTAGGTGACCAAATACTTATTTTCCACCATAATTTGCTAATCAATTCATAAAAAATCCTACAATGTGACTTTCTGGAGAAAAAAAATCTCAATTTGTCTGTCATAGTTGACGTGTACCTATGATGAAAATTACAGGCCTCTCTCATCTTTTTAAGTGGGAGAACTTGCACAATTGGTGGCTGACTAAAAACTTTTTTCCCCCACTGTAAATCACCCACAATATTCGATCCTAGTCTGAATGTGAAAAGTCCAGCAACTTTATTATTAGTCCACGCATGTACTTTAAACCAACCCTTACAGCTGAAAGTAGGAAAGGTATAATTATGCCACCTCCTTACAGGAAATAGAGTAGAAGTTCTCACAAAATAGTAGAAAATAGTAGAAAATGTCCTCTCCGTCCTTCTATTAACTACTGGTGTTTTTCTTAGAGATTTTGAGGCACTGGAACCCAACGATATCAAGTTAAACAACAAGAAGGTGAAAAAGTCAATGAGCATATCGTGGACATATTTACACCGCATTATCACATTTTAATAATTATACATAATGTCTATAAGGAACACAGAAGTCATTGTTTTTGTCCATTCCCTCTCTCTCAGGCCTTTGATGGCTTCGCTGCGCTGGGCATCTCCCGACTGCTGGAGCCCTCAGACATGGTGCTGCTCTCTGTGCCAGACCGCCTGATCGTCATGACTTACCTGAGTCAGATCCGCACCCACTTTATGGGGCAGGAGCTGAGTGTGCTTCAGATCGAGCACAACAGCAGCCAGTCCAGCTATGCAGTGACTTTGCGCAGTGAGGGTTCTGATGTGGATGCAGCTGCTCGCTTCTGTGCCCGCAAGTTACAGGAAGGTAGCATCTCCCTGGAGGAGAGCGCTACAGAACAGGCCTCTAAGCCCAATGGGAGCCTAGTGCCACCCCCTCGTACTAAACGGGTGACAAAAGTGGAAGAGAAGGGAAGCGGAGCTGGGGATTTGGATAGGGGAGCGGGAGAGACACAGACCCCCGTGCCTCCACCCAGGTCACACACCTCTGCAGCCAAATCAGGATTTGGTCACGTGAGAGACGCCGACCTGGTGAAGAAAAGGCGCTTGCGGCTGAAAAGTGAGTCCATGGATGAAGGGGATGGGCTGGAACAACAGAGTAGCACATCTAAGAGCACAGAGGTACATTCTGAATACTGTCTGTATCTTTTCTCCCATTTTCCCAGCTTTTAAAACAGTTTTCTTGCATTTGAACGGAGATTGATGTTCTATTAATATGTCAATCTTTTGCTATTTAAACGAGGCCATGTTTCTCTTCACCTATCATGTCTATTGTGTTTGTGTCTCCTGTCTAGTCAGCTGAAAGTGTATCAGACAGAGAGATGAAGAACGGCTCCTCAGAATCCGGTAGGAGGTTTACCGGGAGACTTTACCTGAACTGAATGAGCAGACAACAGAAAATGACAATGCGTAAAGCATGATATGAAAGGCTGCATTCTCCAATGATTTGTTGTTATTGTTGTAAATATACTAATATACAGTCTCGCTGTTTGGTCTGTGTGCAGAGTCAAGGAGCCCAGCACAAGTCCAGGAGTCCAGTGTCCCAAGCCAGGAGGAGGATACTCTGGTCAGTTCAAACCTTTACCTTGACGTCACGTTATTATTCACTTGACTGTTTATATTTGTTTTTCTCTTTTGGTTTAGGCAACCTTCTCTCTCACTGTCAAAAATGTGATTTTCCTGTGTTTTATATACACTGAGTGTACAAAACATTAGGAACACCTGCTCTTTCCATGACATAGACTGACCAGATGAATCCAGGTGAAAGCTATGATCCCTTATTGATGTCACTTGTTAAATCAACTTCAATCAATGAACGGAAGGAGAAAGGTTAAAGAAGGATGTTTAAGCCTTGAGACAATTGAGACATGGATTGTGTGTGTGTGCCATTCAGAGGGTGAATGGGCAACACAAAAGATGTAAGTGCCTTTGAACGAGGTATGGTAGTAGGGGCCAGGCGCACCAGTTTGTGTCAAGAACTGCAACACTGCTGGGTTTTTCACACTCAATAGTTTCCTGTGTGTATCAAGAATGGTCCACCACCCAAAGGACATCCAGCCAACTTGACACAACTGTGGGAAGCATGGGCCAGCATCCCTGTGGAACACTTTTGACACCTTGTAGAGTCCATTCCCCCAACGAATTGAGGCTGTTCTGAGGGCAAAAGGGGGTGTAACTCAATATTAAGCTGTTCCTAATGTTTTGTACACTCAGTGTATATTTCCACACTATGAGGTTGGAATAATACTGTGAAATTGTAAAAATTATGATAATGCCCTTTTAGTGTAAAAGAACGCCTGAAATTTGAGCCTGTTTTGGTGGGATGGAGTTTTAGCCTTCCATGGTGACATATAACTGCACATTTTCAGTTTTCCCCTCCCAGTCAGACCACTCCCAGACAGTCCTAACAAAATTCTTGTTGAGAAATTACTCTTTGCTAAGAAGCTATTTTCGGTTCATTTTGACCATTTTAATTGAAAACAATCACAGTAAGGTACTTAATTATTACCCAGAAATGATTTGATATTGAGATAAAAATGGCTGCATTGGACCTTCTAGTCCTCTGTGTCTCTTAGGGTGTTTACTGATGTCCATGGCGTAACCTATCCATCTCTCTTTGTTTTGTATGACGTTTACTTCCTGGATTTCTCTTTGCCTTTATTCCTGTTTCTCCCTCTAATCTCCTGACCGTTTTCTCTCTGTCATCTCTCTATGTTCATCTGTGTCTGTCCTTGCATGTCCGTTTCGGCAATGTGTGTCACTGTATCTTCATGGTCAGCGTCTGCAGGACACCAGTCAGTATGTGCTGAGTGAGCTGCAAGCCCTGGAGACTGAACAGAAGCACATCGACAACAGAGCAGGCATCGTGGAGAGGAGACTCAGAAGACTGATGGAATCAGGTGAGAAACAGAACGATATAAAAAGGGGCTGTAAACATGAACAGTGTCAGGCTTACCTTTATGTGTGCTTATCAAAGGCCTCAGGCTCCTTTGTCTACTTTTCTCAGTAGATACAAGGTCTAACCTCTGAGGTGCCATGTGGACTTTGTGTCCTTGCTCCAGGTAGCGACCGTGACGAGGAAGAGAAGCTGATCCAGGAGTGGTTCACTCTGGTCAACAAGAAGAACGCCCTGATCAGGAGACAGGACAACCTGGAGCTGCTGTAAGACACATACCAGACCACTCACACATATATTATTCTTAAGAATAAGTAACATGATTATGTTACTAGGAAATAGTTTGAACTGAAATGTGCCATCTGACTACATGTGCCATATTATGTTCTGTGTGTGTACCCAGCCACGGGCAGGTAATTGAATGTATTGTATTTAACAGGCAGGAGGAGCAGGACTTGGAGAAACGATTTGAGCTGCTGAATAGAGAACTCAGAGCCATGATGGCCAATGAAGGTTAGTGAGTCCAATGGATAAACACAACCTTGTTTACATTGAACACAACCAGTGAGACGACTGTAGACCTATAGCAGTTGTGTGTATATATAATTACTATGATATCGTCTCTCATCCCTGAGAAGAACAGAAAGGCCCACACACTGAATATGCTCCAAATTACCAACTTTATTGACAACGTTTTGATCCAGGTCTGACCTGAAGAAGATCCTTGTGGTTCGAAACGTTGTCATATTCAGTGTGTGGGCCTGTCTGTTATTTTCAGGTATACTCCGTTTTTTTATGGACATGCGTATGACCACAAACTTTTCTATCTTCCCTCATCCCCCCCCTCTCTCCAGAGTGGCAGAAGACTAACGCTCAGCAGCACCGGGAGGAGCTCCTGCTGCAGGAACTAGTCTCTCTGGTCAACCAGCGGGACGTGCTGGTCAGGGACTTGGACGCCAAGGAGAGAGGGTGAGACTAGGACATCTGTTTGTTATACATCCGTGCTTATATATGCTTATACAGTATGACACACTAAGCATGCACACACAGTGTCATAAACACACATCATATTCTACACACGTTTTAAACGATGCAGGACTGCGTGGTTGTTTATGTGTGTGTTTGTGTGTCCTCAGTGCCGTTGAGGAGGATGAGCGTCTGGAGCGGGGGCTGGAGCTTAGACGCAGGAAGTTCAGCAACAAAGACAAGTGTGTGCTGCAGTGAGAGAAGGGACGACAATGACAAATAGGGCAGTGCCTTAAATACCAACCCATCAATATCTAAACCTCCCCAATCCCTGCTTTAAACCAAGCTCTCAGTCACTCAACAACCTACAATATGAAACACTCCTAGACAAACCTGTCACCACAGCAATAAATCTTTAACTGGGATTTTGGGACTGATCATTAATAAAGGAGCTGTGTGCCTTCCCTTTTGGAGATACTTGAAGAAAACAATCCCAATGTATCTCGAGGTAAGAGACTCTGGGAAGGTCGCCCATCCATGAAGTACTTTTGATTGAGAAATGAGGACCTTTCCAGTTCAGTCTGTCAATGTGCCTTACTCTGTCATTCAATAGCCAGAAAGCCCACTGTACAGATGTTTCATATACTTTTAGACCACCATGAAGCTAAGCGGTTCAGACGTATAGGTCATAATGTCTACTTTTACATCTGTAAACATCTCACTGATCTCATCAACAATATAAGAGAACTTTGCCTGAATGCTTTGGTGGAACTGGCTATGAAATGAACGGTCTGGTGGTTAGACACAAAATAATCAGGCCTCTGTGTTTACAGGAGGGTTTGGTAACATAATCTATGTGTATACAGGAGGGTTTGATAACATCAGCTCTGTGTATACAGGAGGGTTTGGTAACATCAGCTCTGTGTATACAGGAGGGTTTGGTAACATAATCTCTGTGTATACAGGAGGGTTTGATAACAACATCTCTGTGTATACAGGAGGGTTTGGTAACATCAGCTCTGTGTATACAGGAGGGTTTGGTAACATCAGCTCTGTGTATACAGGAGGGTTTGGTAACATCAGCTCTGTGTATACAGGAGGGTTTGGTAACATCAGCTCTGTGTATACAGGAGGGTTTGGTAACATCAGCTCTGTGTATACAGGAGGGTTTGGTAACATCAGCTCTGTGTATACAGGAGGGTTTGGTAACATCAGCTCTGTGTATACAGGAGGGTTTGGTAACATCAGCTCTGTGTATACAGGAGGGTTTGGTAACATCAGCTCTGTGTATACAGGAGGGTTTGGTAACATCAGCTCTGTGTATACAGGAGGGTTTGGTAACATCAGCTCTGTGTATACAGGAGGGTTTGGTAACATCAGCTCTGTGTATACAGGAGGGTTTGGTAACATCAGCTCTGTGTATACAGGAGGGTTTGGTAACATCAGCTCTGTGTTTTACTTTGGACCCAGATGTTTGATGAAAGACTCAGGTTTATGAGAGTATCACGTCTTGATGACTTCTGGTGAGAACTTTTAATTGTGTTTTATCAATCTTTATTTTATTTATGGATTGGACATGTGCATGATAAATGTTTGTGTTAGGTGTGTCATATTACGAGTGGCATGAACAGTCAGATCTAACCAGAAATGAAACAAAAAGAGGATAGTGTACAAACATGAAACTTTAGTTGTAGACAGAAGTTAGTAGTCCTACTTGGAAAACATACAGCACAATAAATACCATCCTTTAAATAATAATGTATGTCCCACTGTTATTACCTGGCACTGCAGTTCTTTCCATGGTTTATTTTTATTTTTAGCATAGACTGTCAAATTGTCTAGTATTAATAGATTCAACATTTACCAATGGCTAGTTAGATGTTATGTGCTATTATCATAGATGATGATTACTATTATTCCTTGTGTTATTATTTGTATATTTATTCCTTGTGTTATTAATATTATTATTATTATTTTCTTCCATTTTTTTCTACTATTTCTATTTTTTTTGTTCTCTGCATTGTTGGGAAGGGCCCGTAAGTGATCATTTCACTGTTAGTCCACACCTGTTTTTTACAAAGCATGTGACAAATAAAATGTAATTTCATTTGATTTATTTGATACTAATCATTGGTAGATTTGAAAATGTAATGATGTGACAATAAAGTATTACTTTGTCCAAGCCTCTTTTTAAAAATGATATGCATTATGTTTTGTTTAAACCAGTGAATGATCAATAATATATTTTAAGAGTTTTTCTGAAACACCAAAGGATGCTTATTTATTCATCATAAACAATTGTAATAAATAATATTGCAAGATCAAGATAATAGACATATTCAGAAATGACTCCTCATTCACAGAACACAATGACATATCTCCATGAAAAAGTACCACATAAGATAATATGACAACAAATTAGAGAAAACATATTCAAACAATGTGTATTGTGTCAGTGTACTGATACAGGCCATAGTTGAGCCCTAACCCTGAGCCAGCTGAACCAGAAGGACGTTTAGAAGGGGTTTGGCTGAACTACATTTCCCATCTGTGTAGGAAATCGATTCAACGTCATCACTCACTGACACCTGCGCAAAAGGCTAGGGATGATGACAAGTAAGCGAGACAGAAGGGAAAACAACAAGGTAAAGAAAGCAATAACACTAATTCTAGCTAAATTGATTAGTCATCAAACACTTACCTAACCAACAAACTATACAAAACATTTTGGCTCGTAAAATTGCAGAACCATTTGCCAAACGCGGTTTGGTGGGGTAACGTTAGCTAAGCTTGTTACTGTACGGTAGCTAGCTAGCTACAACAACGTCTTCTTTCCCACTACGATAGCAACGCAGCTAGCTACTAAGAAGATGAGTGTGTGACCCAGACAAGGGCCGAGAAAACACAGATTTCGGACACCATGAATCCTGAATAGTGAGTAAAGCTGGTGATGTTTAGGTGTTGTTTTTGTTAGCTCCACAGACCGAGTAACACCGGATGACGAGATGTAGCAAGCAAGCTAGTTTTTTTACATTTATTTTTATTCGAATTACAAATATCAAGCACAAATATTCGTTATACAAATTATCAGCAATCAACAACTTACATCACTACAGTACATCAAACACGTCTACCGCAAAACAAAATACACAAGTAAAACAAGAAGAGACCTTAAATACATACAGTGAGGGAAAAAAGTATTTGATCCCCTGTGATTTTGTACGTTTGCCCACTGACAAAGAAATGATCAGTCTATAATTTTAATGGTAGGTTTATTTGAACAGTGAGACAGAATAACAACAAAAAAATCCAGAAAAACGCATGTCAAAAATGTTACAAATATATTAGGAGTATTTGACCCCCTCTCAATCAGAAAGATTTCTGGCTCCCAGGTGTCTTTTATATAGGTAATGAGCTGAGATTAGGAGCACACTCTTAAAGGGAGTGCTCCTAATCTCAGCTTGTTACCTGTATAAAAGACACCTGTCCACAGAAGCAATCAATCAATCAGATTCCAAACTCTCCACCATGGCCAAGACCAAAGAGCACGGGAGGATCTTGTCAATGATCTCAAGGCAGCTGGGACCATAGTCACCAAGAAAACAATTGGTAACACACTACGTCGTGAAGGACTGAAATCCTGCAGCACATACAAGAAAGCACATACAGGCCCGTCTGAAGTTTGCCAATGAACATCTGAATGATTCAGAGGAGAACTGGGTGAAAGTGTTGTGGTCAGATGAGACCAAAATCGAGCTCTTTGGCATCAACTCAACTCGCCATGTTTGGAGGAAGAGGAATGCTGCCTATGACCCCAAGAACACCATCCCCACTGTCAAACATGGAGGTGGAAACATTATGCTTTGGGAGTGGTTTTCTGCAAAGGGGACAGGACAACTTCACCGCATCAAAGGGGCCATGTACTGTCAAATCTTGGGTGAGAACCTCCTTCCCTCAGCCAGGGCATTGAAAATGGGTCGTGGATGGCTATTCCAGCATAACAATGACCCAAAACACACGGCCAAGGCAACAAAGGAGTGGCTCAAGAAGGGAGCTGAAGGTTTGAGTTGCCAAACGTCAGGCTCAAAACCTTAATGACTTGGAGAAGATCTGCAAAGAGGAGTGGGACAAAATCCCTCCTGAGATGTGTGCAAACCTGGTGGCCAACTACAAGAAACGTCTGACCTCTGTGATTGCCAACAAGGGTTTTGCCATCAAGTACTAAGTCATGTTTTGCAGAGGGGTCAAATACTTATTTACCTCATTAAAATTCAAATCAATTTATAACATTTTTGACATGCGTTTTTCTGGATTTTGTTGTTGTTATTCTGTCTCTCACTGTTCAAATAAACCTACCATTAAAATTATAGACTGATCATGTCTTTGTCAGTCGGCAAACGTACAAAATCAGCAGGGGATCAAATACTTTTTTCCCTCACTGTAGCTATGCTGACATAAAATGGTATAAGATTTTGATCTAGTTAGTTGGATGAGCTATGGGTCTCTTGCTACCGTTCTATATTTTAAGTTTTCCTCTGACATTTCTTTGCACACCCTTGCAACTGTAGCTATAATAACAGCTAATTTCAGATGGAAATGACAGCGTTGCATATGAACTTAGCGTAACTCCCCAGATACCCAGATGAAAGTCAATGCTGGGGGCTTGATAGAATAGATTTGTTAGTCTCTAAATATTATTTAATGTTCCCTAACCTGGTTTTCCCCCTAGTGACTACCTGTTCAAGCTGCTTCTGATTGGCGATTCAGGGGTGGGCAAGTCTTGCCTCCTGCTTCGATTTGCGGTAAGAACTATCAGTGTTCAGTGTTATTGGCATGTTGATCAGTGTTCAGCTTTACATCAACGTTTGGATGGATACTGTGTGTCCATTTGTGTGAGTGTGTTGATAATGCTATGTTTTTTAAATTATGCATTTCAGGATGACACCTACACAGAAAGTTTCATAAGCACCATCGGCGTGGACTTCAAAATCCGAACTATTGAACTGGACGGCAGGACCATCAAATTACAGATTGTGAGTTGAGTCAGCACCTCTGGCAGCTGTCCTGGGAAGTTTAATTGCAGTTCATGCTTGCAGCCATGTAGTGTGTTAACTAATTAACATATTTTTTTATTGTCTTTAGTGGGACACTGCTGGTCAGGAGCGGTTTCGCACCATCACCTCCAGCTATTACAGAGGAGCCCATGGTATCATCATTGTCTATGATGTAACAGATCAGGTTAGTGACACCCTTCCAAAAAGAAGATTCATTAACATCTTTGAGTCAACCAGCATTTATTGACAACACGTAACTGAGGTATTTTCTCTGTTTCTAGGAGTCTTACAACAATATAAAGCAGTGGCTGCAGGAGATCGACCGCTATGCCAGCGAGAACGTCAACAAGCTGCTGGTGGGGAACAAGTGTGACCTCACCACCAAGAAGTTAGTAGACTACACGACAGCCAAGGTGAGTCCTCAGGAAACGTGGACTCTGAAACAGATTAATCACAGTATTTGGGTATAGTATACTCTGTAGCCTTAGTTTGTAGTAGTTGATATCAGGGCCTAAAATTAACTTTTTGGTCCACCAGCCACTGTGGCAGGTAAATGAAAAAAATCTACCAGCCACTCGAATGTTTTCACCAGTCAACTTTCTTTGGGCCATAATTACATTTTTTAACAACACACAAAAAAACAGATCACCATTCTTTGTAATGTTTCTAAAACAAGAAATGTAAGAAGTCGTGGTATATTGCTCAATTTCATTACTTTTTTTGTGACCGGAGTGTTTTAAATCGAAATACCAGAGACAAAATGTTCAACTGCCCCTTTAAGGGCGAGAGATTACCGTGTTAACGGGGCCACTCGAGTAGTGTCACGTGTGTCTGTGAGATTTTTGATCTGACTAGAGCGTCTCTTCGCTATCAGTTGAAGCAGCAGACTCAAACTAACATTGAAAAACAACCGACCTTGTGAACAAAACAATGTAAATAGCCAAGAAACAGGAGGACAAAGTCTCACTTTGTAAACTTTTGAGTAAATTAGACCAGCTTTTATGCCTGTTAGCAACGCCTCCAAAAATGAATATATCAGCACATTGCACAAAGCTCCCCTGCCAGGCAGTGTCGCTGTGCGTGGTGGGATATAGATTTGTATTTCTTTGTGAGATTAGCAGCTATAAAACTAAACGGCAGAAATACTTTGAAAACAGCTACTGCAGCATTTTTCATACTTGACTTTTGACTATTTTTATTTGCGAATGTAATGCTTGCACTGTAGAGCCCTGCAAATTGACCACCCGCCAACGTGGCTGGTGAAATAGACGTTCTGACCCGCCAATACCTACAGTGAGGGAAAAAGGTATTTGATCCCCTGCTGATTTTGTACGTTTGCCCACTGACAAAGAAATGATCAGTGTATCATTTTAATGGTAGGTTTATTTGAACAGTGAGAGACAGAATAACAACAAAAAAATCCAGAAAAACACATGTCAAGAATGTTATAAATTGATTTGCATTTTAATGAGGGAAATAAATATTTGACCCTCTCTCAATCAGAAAGATTTTCGGCTTCCAGGTGTCTTTTATGCAGGTAACGAGCTGAGATTAGGAGCACACTCTTAAAGGGAGTGCTCCTAATCTCAGTTTGTTACCTGTATAAAAGACACCTGTCCACAGAAGCAATCAATCAATCAGATTCCAAACTCTCCACCATGGCCAAGACCAAAGAGCTCTCCAAGGATGTCAGGGACAAGATTGTAGACCTACACAAGGCTGGAATGGGCTACAAGACCATCGCCAAGCAGCTTGGTGAGAAGGTGACAACAGTTGGTGTGATTATTCGCAAATGGAAGAAACACAAAATAACTGTCAATCTCCCTCGGCCTGGGGCTCCATGCAAGATCTCACCTCGTGGAGTTGCAATGATCATGAGAACGGTGAGGAATCAGCCCAGAACTACACGGGAGGATCTTATCAATGATCTCAAGGCAGCTGGGACCATAGTCACCAAGAAAACAATTGGTAACACACTACGCCGTGAAGGACTGAAATCCTGCAGCGCCCGCAAGGTCCCCCTGCTCAAGAAAGCACATATACAGGCCCGTCTGAAGTTTGCCAATGAACATCTGAATGATTCAGAGGAGAACTGGACGGGGCCATGTACATCAAAGGGACGATGGACGGGGCCATGTACCATCAAATCTTGGGTGAGAACCTCCTTCCCTCAGCCAGGGCATTGAAAATGGGTCGTGGATAGATATTTCAGCATGACAATGACCCAAAATACACGGCCAAGGCAACAAAGGAGTGGCTCAAGAAGAAGCACATTAAGGTCCTGGAGTGGCCTAGCCAGTCTCCAGACCTTAATCCCATAGAAAATATGTGGAGGGAGCTGAAGGTTCGAGTTGCCAAACGTCAGCCTCGAAACCTTAATGACTTGGAGAAGATCTGCAAAGAGGAGTGGGACAAAATCCCTCCTGAGATGTGTGCAAACCTGGTGGCCAACTACAAGAAACGTCTGACCTCTGTGATTGCCAACAAGGGTTTTGCCACCAAGTACTAAGTCATGTTTTGCAGAGGGGTCAAATACTTATTTCCCTCATTAAAATGCAAATCAATTTATAACATTTTTGACATGCGTTTGGGACACACTGTATTACTTACAATGGAAGCACTGTACTACTTTAGTCAGACTGGTGACTGACCTGTCTCACTCTCCTCAAACAGGAATTTGCTGACTCCCTATCCATCCCCTTCCTGGAGACCAGTGCTAAGGACGCAACTAACGTGGAGCAATCCTTCATGACCATGGCGGCTGAGATTAAGAAGCGCATGGGGCCCGGGGCCACAGCAGGAGGAGAGAAGCACAACCTGAAGATTGACAGCACCCCAGTGAGGCAGTCTGGAGGAGGATGCTGTTAGGACTGTCCTGCCCCCTCCTCTCACCCCCAGAGGCCCATGCGTAGATTAACAGTACAGGGTTGAAGTTGGGGTGCTTCTGACAGAACAGGAAAATATGCTGGTGGAGGTGGCGGGATCTTCAAGAACTGACTGACATTTTTTAAATCTTCACCTATGCCCATAATTGAGTGAGTAAGACAGTTTTGTGCTGAATGAATAGTTCCCCCCCCCCAAAAAAAATAAAAATAAATAAACTCACAATTGTTATTCACCGATGCACAGAAGTGGAAACATCTTAATATAAAAATGTGGTTCGCATTGTAAGGCATAAAACTGATGATTGTATGTATCAGACTGTTTAAACACACATTGTGATTGAAAGAAATCATGGATGTTCTTTCAACTATGGTTGACTATATTACTTAAGTAATAAGGCCCGAGGAGGTGTGGTATGTGGCCAATATACCACCGTTAAGGGCTGTTCTTATGCACGACGCAACGCGGAGTGCCTGGATACAATCCTTAGCCGTGGTATATTGGCCATATACCACAAACACCTGAGGTGCCTTATTGCTGTTATAAACTGGTTACCAACGTAATTAGAGCAGTAAAAATAAATGTTTTGTCATACCCATGGTATATGGTCTGATATACCATGGCTGTCAGCCAATCAGCATTCAGGGCTCAAACCACCCAGTTTATAATATCCTTTATGACCTTTATGGTTCCTAGTCACACTGCTGACTGTTGATGATGACAATGTGAAATAAGAGACGCATTGTGTCAGCTAAACCAGAGTCTTTTTGTATCATCTATCCGTCAGAAATCAGATTTAGACCTCATTGGGCCCATACACACAAACACTATGTAGGTAAAAAATAAGGATGCTTTTAAGGACAGGGTGAAGTAAATCCATTTTCACAAACTGGAGACCACGTGGCAAATGGAAATCTGCTATCATGGTGTCCATCTTTTAATGTCTGTTTTAATCATTGCTATATTATACTATTATTACATGGTGGTTTTATTACTGTGATTTATGTTTGTTTTGATTCTCTGTGTGTAATCATTGCATGTTATTTCTGTTGCCTAATGAATGAGTGCATAACCAAAGGCCAACAGCATTTGGTTCTTTCTGGAGTGGAAGCTGGCTATAAACAGGAGGGATTTAAGGCATGTCCAACACTTTAGCGTTTAATTTGACCTCATCTCAAGTCACAATGCTGCTGTACCATCACAGCTTTACATGTTCCCTATAATATACTATATGGGCGACCTCTGGTTGGTGACTGATAACAGATACCTTTCATTATTACAGTACTAGCCAGGGGTGGCTCTTGCAGACGCTCTTATCCAGAGCCACATACAGGAGCAATTAGGGTTAAGTGCCTTGCTCAAGGGCACATTGACAGCCACATCCGTTGCTGACAGGTGTATAAACTTGAGCACACAGCCGTGCAATCTCCATAGACAAACATTGGTAGTAGAATGGCCCGTACTGAAGAGCTCAGTAACTATCAATGTGGCACCGTCATAGGATGCCACCTTTCCAACAAGTCAGTTTCATCACATTTCTGCCCTGTTTGAGCTGCCCCGGTCAACTGTAAGTGCTGTTATTGTGAAGTGGAAATGTCTAGGAGCAACAATGGCTCAGCCGCGAAGTGGTAGGCCACACAAGCTCACAGAATGGGACCGCCGAGTGCTGAACCGTGTGGCGCGTAAAAATCATTTGTCCTCGGTTACAACACTCACTACCGAGTTCCAAACTGCCTCTGGAAGCAACGTCAGCACAATAACTGTTCGTCCGGAGCTTCATGAAATGGGTTTCCATGGCCGAGCAGCCGCACACAAGCCTAAGATCACCATGCGCAATGCCAAGCGTCGACTGGAGTGTTTTTCATGGTTCAGGCTAGGCCTCTTAGTTCCAGTGAAGGGAAATCTTAACGCTACAGCATACAATGACATTCTAGACGATTCTGTGCTTCCAACTTTGTGGCAACAGTTTGGAGAAGGCCCTTTTCTGTTTCAGCATGACAATGCCCCCATGCACAAAGCAAGGTCCATACAGAAATGGTTAGTCGAAATCGGTGTGGAAATACTTGACTGGCCTGCACAGAGCCCTGACCTCAACCCCATCAAATACCTTTGGGATTAATTGGAACGCTGACTGCGAGCCAGGCCTAATCACCCATCATCAGTGCCTGACCTCAGTAATGCTCTTGTGGCTGAATGGAAGCAAGTCCCCGCAGCAATGTTCCAACATCTAGTGGAAAGCCTTCCCAGAAAAGTGGAGGCTATTATAGCAGCAAAGGGGGCACCAACTCCATATTAATGCCCATGATTTTGGAATGAGATGTTCGACGACCAGGTGTCCACATTATTTTGGCCATGTAGTGTACTATCTACTTAACATATCTCCTTAAAACTACAAATAACTTATTTCTATCCACTCATTCAATCATTTGGCTTTTGCTAGTTATTTCTTCTTTGCTGTGGATAATTTAACATGCTTTTAACGCCCAGAAGACATGGCAGTCCATAGTCATAAAGTATATTGTTATTATTACCATTATTGTGTTGACTCAAAATATCGTTTTTTGTATATCTTTCAGACCCTAACATTTCTACTGAAAGTGAATGTGATACGTGTAATGACCAGCAGAGGTCAGAGTCATCACAAAATACAGAACCTGGACAGGAGCTATTATGAAGCTATTATACAGTAGGCTACCGATAATCCTCTTGAGCTGGACACCATCTGACATAAGAGAGTTTACCGAAACCTTGAGCTGGACACCATCTGAAATAAGAGAGTTTACTGAAACAACCCAGGTGCACGCTCATGTCAGGGCTCCCGAGTGGCGCAGCGGTCTAAGGCTCTATAGCTCGCGATAGAGGCGTCACTACAGACCCTGGTTTGATTTCAGGCTGTATCACAATCCGGCGGTGATTGAGAGTCCCATAGGGCGGCGCACAATTGGCCCAGCGTCGTCCGGGTTTGGCTGGGGTGCGCCTCCCTATGGGACTCCCAATCACCGCCCTCATTGTAAATAAGAATTTTGATACAATGTTGCAAGTTTGTTGATAGTTTGTTGGCGCTGGATGGAGTATGCAGGGTGTCCATTCTATACTGTTTACTTTTCTTACGTCGGCAGTTTATACCTATGGTGGGGCAAGTTACCAAGGTAACTGTGTGGACTGGGACACAGAAGTCTGTCAATAGTCTAATGTTGCGTACTAGTGCTATAGAAAAGCGCATTATTTGCTTAACGGCCTGTGTGTGTCTCTCTGGGTGTGTGTCTGTGTGTCTGTGTGTGTGTGTGTGTGTGTGTGTACACAGGGATAATCCCAGTGTGATTAAAAGGCGCTGGGCAGATTGGGTGGGCGTCACAGTAAATTGCAGAGATAGGAGAACCAAACCTCAACATCCATCATGTTTTTCAAAGTTGCAATTAAGTTATTGATTAGTGTTAATGTAGCTACTCTACAATCTTGTAGTCTTTGTGCAGATCTATGTGTAATACTCATACTTCACTTGAGTTGAGTCTGAAATTCCTGGGTAGGTGGGAAATGAGTACAGTAGGCTTATTGAAGGCTATATTTCTATTCATATTGTCTTCTCTCCCTCTTATGCTGGGCCCCTCCCAGTGGGCTATGATGGGCATTGGACTGGAGGGCTTTGTGCCAGCTGCCACGTTACCCCTCATTCTCACCATGGTAGTGGGCCTGTTTTACATTAGATTTCCCCCCCCACACACACACACACACTCTCTGAATCTAAAATCGACTATGTCAACATAACTATTTTAAATCTGAAACAAAAATCAGGATGACTGGTATTGACTGGTATGTTACTGGTATACTGCTATTCAATTATGCACTGATCAACTTTTGTGGTCACAAGTACATCCTCCTAACTCTTCTCTCAGGTGTTTTTTCTTGGCCCTTGACCCAGTCAGCTATGGATAACCCCACATAAATTAAATCAAGCCTCGGTGAGTTATATCAAGCATGTATAAGTGTCAATATGTCTGTGAGCATGCTCTTGCTAGTGTTGGTGTGTATGTCCCCCAGAGTTGGCCTGGTGTGAGTGAGTCTGTGCAGTGTGGGTGGGTGTTGACATGAGCATGAGTGCATGTTGTTTGTTGCACCCATCACGATACTCACCCTGCTGCAGTCCCAAGGTCCTGGGTGGTGTGTGGGGGGGACCTGGTGTGGCTGGGGAACCAGGTGGTCGCACCACTGACTGAGGAGCTGGTGTTCCGGGCCTGTATGCTGCCCACGCTAGTACCCTGCACTGGACCCACCGCTGCCATCTTCATCGCTCCTCTCTTCTTTGGCGTGGGTAGGGCAATGCAGACGTTAGTAGACAGGCCTAGGTTATTTGACAACTTCTGCTTGACATTAACACCATTGTTACGGTTTCCATCTCTGTCTCACATCAACCATTGCAGCCCATTTTCACCATGTTATTGAACAGCTGCAACTCAAAGAAGACACTCTGCCAGTTCTCCTGCTCTCTGCATGTAAGGCATACAAACATTTACAGAAACCTTGAAACCAGACACTTTTAATACACAAACACACAATCAAATGCAAATATACCCCCTCCCCTCCCCAATTAATCGTAAAAGCATGTGCAGTGTCCTGTTAGTGAATTACAGTGATGATGTAATTCTGTATTCCCCGTAGTGTTCCAGTTCACTTACACCTCAGTGTTTGGTGCCTACACTGCCTTCATATTCATCAGGACAGGTGAATGTGTGTCTGTGTACACATGTACAGATGAGCACACGTGACTGCATTCTGTGCTGTCAAATGAGACATGAGCTCCCCTAAATGCAACAAAAGTCTAACTGTGGGGGGGGGGCTCGATTTTAACCATTATCTTATTATTATTTTTCGTATTTTTTACTGCTACAGTGGTAAATATCAAAATAAAAGCTTATTCCAAATGAAAAGAACAACCTCACCTCTCTGTCATGGTTTTAACCAGTGAAAGTTGGGTTAGGTTCTTTCAAATCGCATTCATCTATCTACTCTGCCTGTCTGCCTTTCTCTCTGTCTGTCTTGAGCTTTCACTAGCGAACCTGCAACATTGTATCGACTGGGTCCAGCCACTAGCGAACGATTAGTTACCGGAGTGTAACTCCAGTTCTATGAGTGGAGCGGAGCCCCATAGGGGAGCTCTGCTCCTAATGGTTTACCCTCTGCCCTAAGGCAGCAGCAGCCTGAGACAAAATTATGCACACACCTACAGCCAATAGGAGTACAGGTGTCCCTATAAGAGGGGATGCCTCCCCTCAATCAGCCTCCCGAGATATTTTTCTTCAGCGAGACTAGAGAGGGTCGGCAGGGCCTTAAGTCCTATGGGGCTCCGCTCCACTCATAGAACTGGAGTTACACTCCGGTAACTAATCGTTCTATATCGTGGAGCTCCGCCCCATAGGGGAGCTCTGCTCCTAATGGTTTAAGGCGGAGCGTAGCGCTCCAAAATGTACTCCCTGCCGAGCCTAACACTTCCCATCGAAACGAGAAAGTCAAGCCTAGCAATGGCTGCAACCGAGTCCCGCAGTACTGCAACTAAAAAACCCCTACGGGCGTCACAATATACCGCGTCATCGGTTAAAAAACCCGCCCCACCTAGTCCAATGGCAATGCCAATGACTAGTGGGCAGATCACCAGAATAGAAGCCATACTAATCTGTACTAGCAGATAGATGTGCCTCAATATCCTGTGAAAACACTACCGACCACTAATGGAATGACATCAAGTGTCACTCTACATTATGAACGCGGTAGACCGCCTCACTCACTCAATGGAATCCCAGAGATTAGTGGGCAGGAACAAAAACATGAGTCATACTAACTGAACAAGCAGATAGATGACCTCACATTCTGTTAATCAACGCATGCCTCTACTGTACTGATCCTGTCAGTCAGGATTCATGTCACAAAATATGTTTTCTTATCCAAAGCGGACCTGATGGAAACCCAGTCCATAGTCCTGCTTTTCCCTCTCTTCCTAGCTCCAGATCTCCCTTCAGCTATGCTGAGTACAGACCGAGCCAAAGAGTTAGAAAACACATCTGTCAAAAACACGTCTTCCTAACCAAAGCGGACCTGATGGAAACCTGAGTCCACAGTCCTGCTTCTCCTCTCTTTCTTGCTCAAGATCTCCCTTCAGCCACGCTGAGTACAGATCGAGCCAGAGAATTAGAAGACATATCTAAGAGATAGAAACGGATAAATGGAGACGGCGTCGACCAGGATGCTGCTCTACAGATATCCTCTACTCCTGTTCCTCTAAAAAGGGCAGTAGAAGCCGCTACTCCACGAGTGGAGTGAGCTCTGATACCCTGAGGCAATTGCCGCCCTGCTACCTCATAAGCTGTCTCAATGCCTTCACAAAGCCAGTGAGACAGCCTCTGTTTTGAAAGTGGTCTACCTAGTGCAGCCGCACCGTGACACACAAACAACTGAGGCGATGACCTAATCGCTGCTGTGCGCTCGACGTAACATGCCAAAGCGCGTACCGGGCACAGGCGATGGAGCTTCTCCTCACTCCTCTCTCTATGAGGAGGAGGAGAAAAAGCCCACAGCTCCACGGTCTGTGACCTATATGAACTCTTAATAACCTTCGGCACAAATGCCGGGTTAGGACGTAACACTGCTCTGCTCAGGTCACCATTGATGGCCAGGCAGTCAGGTCTCGTCGAAAGAGCACACAAATCACTGACCCGCTTAGCTGTAGTCAAAGCGAGCAACAGTGCTGTCTTGATAGACAGCATCTTGAGGGGTATTTGATTCAATGGCTTGAACGGCGACTTACATAGCGCTTCGAGTACCAAAGCCAAATCCCACTGAGGAAGCGTGACTCTAGGTGTTGGCCTAAGTCGCCGCGTTCCTAATAGGAAGCGTTTCACTAGAGGGTGACTAAAGACATTGTCTCTGCCAAAACCCTCATGACAAGCTGAAATCGCTGCTGCAAACACTAATCGTGGCAGGCGATTTTTGCTTATCAAACATGAGCTGCAGAAAAGAGAGAATACTCTCCACCTGACAGCTCATGGGGTCCACACCTTGTGTGACACACCATCGTGAAAACACGTTCCATCTACTGGCATACATCTTAGAAGTGGAACTGGCACGTGAACCCTGTATGGTCCTGATCACTGCATCAGATAACCCACGGCGCTCTAGCCTGTCCCTCTCAGCAGCCAGGCCTTCAGTGGTTGGCCGATTATGGGCAATTTCCCTATCGTGCCAGCCGCCTGAGACAACGCGTCCCGTCGATGTGGAATTGGCCAAGGTGGCGCAATCAACATCTGACTCATCTCCGCAAACCACAGAGCCCCCGGGCGATCGGGCGCTATCAGTATCACTGACAGCCCCCCTGACCTCACCCTGGCTAGCAGTGGGAGAATGCAGGACAGCGGAGGGAATGCATACAGGAGAACTCTCGGCCACGGTTGGTGCGCAAAGGCGTCCCTTCCCAGTGGCGGTTCGTCCTGTTCCCTCAGAGAGAACCACAGAGGACATTGCGCGTTCACGCGTGACGCGAATAGGTCCACCTCGGCTCTCCCGAATTGTTCCCAAATCTGGAGAACAATGTCTGGATGCAGACACAACTCGTCGTCTCGAGGACCCCCTCTTGACATGAGGTCTGCTCCTACGTTCAAGTAGCCCGGAATGTGTGCTGCTCTCAATGAGCGAAGGTGCTCGTGAGCCCACAGCCACAATTCCTCTGCCGCCCGATGGAGAGCAGGCGACCTGACTCCACCCTGGCGATTTATGTGGGCTACTGTGGTCCGGTTGTCTGACCAGACCAGCACATCGCGACCCCGAAGGGTAGACGCGAAGTGGGTCAGAACCAGTCGAACCGTTTCCAACTCCAGGAGGTTGATGTGACGACCTGATTGAGGCCACACACCTCCTATCGCTTGTGTCTGACATGTCCCTCCCCATCCCGTCAGGGACGCATCCGTGAATACTAGGATGTGAGAGGACACCTTTCCTATCGGGACTCCGTGCGTGAGAACGCGCGAGTTTCTCCAATAGTTTAGGTCTGCACTGAGCGAGAGGGGAACCACCACCAACCGATGACGTTGACGCAATGGGTCTAGTCTTAGTTGGGCGAACCATCGCTGCGTCCTGCGCATGTGCAGGAGTCCCAGCGGAACCACAGAGTGGGCTGACGACATGAGACCCAAAAGTGACATGATCGACAGCGCCGTCACCGTGTGATTCGGACGACACTTCCTTAGGGCTAGCAACAAGGCTACCCTTCGGGGGTCCGAGATTCGAGCCCTCATCCTCACAGTGTCTAGCTGTATCCCCAGGTAGACAATCTGATGAGTGGGCCAGGGCGCGCTCTTTTTCCAATTCACAGCGAACCCCAGACTTGTGAGATGCATCACTGTCTGTGTTGTGTGAGTGATCGCCAGCTCTGCTGACGGGGCGAGAACCAGTAGGTCGTCCAGGTAGGCTAGTAGCCGTATTCCCTGACGACGCAACGGTTCCAATGCCGCCTCCACACACTTGGAAAATGTGCGAGGTGCCAGGGCGTACCCAAATGGCATCCTCGTGTATTCGTACGCCACCCCTTGAAAGGCGAACCGCAGAAACTTCCTGTGACGCGGCTGAACCAGCACATGAAAGTACGCGTCCTTTAGGTCTATGCTCGTACAAAAGTCCCCTCTCTGGACACATTCCAGCAGACGTTTTGTCGTTAGCATTCGGAAGGGCCGTTTGGTTATGCTCTTGTTGAGAATGCGTAAATCCAAAATCGGCCTCATTCCCCCCGTCTTTTTGGGCACTAGGAAATAAGGCGAATATAGCCCTTTGTTCCTTTGCTCCCGGGGAACTACTGTCACCGCCTCCTTCGCCAAAAGTTCCGTAATCTCTGTCATCAGAGCGGCCACTTTGTCTGGCGTTTTCATCACCGTCTCCACCACTCCCCTGAACGGGGGTGGGGTCCGGTGGAATTGGAGAGCATAACCCTTCTGCAACGTCTGTTCTAGCCAGCGTGAGAGGGTGCAGCTTCTTCGCCACTGCCAGCAATGCTGAGAAAGTGGCTGGGCGCGAAGCTGTGGTGCATCCAGTAGGAAGGACCTGTATTCCTCTATGGCCCTTACCGCCACTGTTCCCCAACATTGAAGTGGTGGAACAGCCCAAGGTGGGCCTCCCGTGAAAGGGAGAGGAAATGCGTTCTGAGAAAGAAAGAGGAGTAGGGATGTCGGTTAAACCCGTAACCGTCGTATTCCTGCCCTCCTTGAACGCATCGCGGGTCTGAATTGCACTGACCGAGGCCACAGCCTGCGGCAGGGCACCATCCCCAGCAAGCGATTGCGTCATCTTAGGTGACTGCAATTCGCTATCAGAGCCCTTCACTACAGTACTCCTAGAAGTCTGTAGTATGAGGTCTCTATGAGGTAAAACAAGGCGGCGCCTTGATACCTTCTTAACTTTCACCTTCTGTGTGTGTTCAACTCTGCACCCCTGGTGGGTTGATTCACGCTCAGTGTGGTGAGTACTGGCTCGTTCTGTCAGGGGAGCTGATACTTTGGTTATACCCATAACGCTAGTAATCCTGCCCTCCGTGAACGTAGCATGGGTCTGAATCGCATTAACCGAGACCTTGGTCTGCGATAATGCGCCGTCCCCAGATAGCTGCTGTGTTACAATGCCTGGGGGCGCCGATACTCTGGGCACCTTGGTGACCGCGGTAATCGGGCCCTCCGTGAACGCAGCATGGGTCTGGCTCGTACTAGTGGAGACCTTAGTCTGTACTAGTGCGCCATCCCCAAATAGCGGCTGCGTCCTCATGTCAGAATCTGACCGGGACTGCTGCCTTCTATGTAAAGCACTTCTTATACGTGAAGTGTGATGTGACGACCTGATTGAGGTCTTCTGGATACCTACTCTTAGTGCCTGTTCAGCAACGCACCCTCGGTGGGCTGAACGGCTCTTAGAGTGGTAAGGAAGAGAGGGTGAGATTTGAACGCTCTCGGACGTATTATGGAAAAGAGGCTCTTTTTTGACAAAGTCAGGTGGAGCCAACTCTTTATTAAACACATCAACAAAAGCATTTACATCAGCACCCGTCCCTTCAACCGAAGGGTGGGGGGGAACAGTGGGCGCGTTCGACACCATCGATGCGTCCTCCATCCTCTCCCCCGCGTCCCGTCACGTACGCCTCCTCTTGCCTCCCTTGGAGGGCCAGGTCGGTGTCCTCGTCACCTCCCTCGCCGGCTGTAGTGGGGCTACCGTAGCTGCTGGGAGGGCCGAGCCCGCTCCCTTGCTGCTCGTGGCCGCCGGATGACGCCGATTACGCCGCCTCGTCGTAGATCCCGGTCTACTTAGAGGGGCGCAGGTAGATGGCCTTTGGGGAGGAGGGGGGCCGAGTCGTCCTGCCAACGGCAGGTGCTTGGCCAACTGCTTCTTCTCCTCCTCCAACTTCGAAAAACGCTCCGTCGCCTCCTTGACTGCGACCCCAAAGAGGCCGTCGTTAGAGAGGGGGGCGTTCAAGAGAGACGTCCTGTCTGCCTCTTTCATGGAAGTCAAAGACAACCAGAGGTGTCGTTCCCCGACCACCGAAGTGGCCATGGATCTCCCTGCGCAGACTGCGGACGCCTGTGTAAGGTGGAGTATGGCGCCAGAAATTCTGGACGCCTCCTCCACCTCCTCCGGTGCCATCTCTGTCTTACCCGTGGTTAAACGGGACAGAGAGGCCGCCAAGAGGGCAATGTTGTTAGCTGCTGCTACAGCTTGGGCTCCCAACCCAAAAGACTTCTCTAACAGCGACGCTGTGAGTCGGTCCTTCTGGGATGGCAACGTGGCCAAGGGCTCGAACCCGGTACGAGATACGCCGCCATGGCGCTCTCTAACCTGGGGATTCCCTGACCCTGAAGCCTTCCTTCCACTCTCGTGAATGGGAGATACGCTTTTACAGGCAAACGCGCCGCTAAAGGTGCCTCCCACGAGCCTCCAACGTACCTAGCCAAAGAAGGCATGGCAGGAGCCACTGGCTCTGCCGCCTTCCTTGGCCTGGAATAAGGACCGCCCTCCATCATATCAACCTCCGGTGCGGAGGGAAGAGGGGGCAGCTCTATTGCCAGCCATTGAGCAGCTCTCTCAATGAGACCCGGAAAATCCGCTCTCAGAGAGGCTGCAGCGAAAGAGAGAGCTTCTGATCTCTCAGAGCTCGTATCCCCTTCGCTATAGGGACTACAAGCCCTCTCGCTCTCCAAAGGAAAGGGGGGCTTGAAAGTATGAGGGACGGGGTCCGACTGTTCCATTGGAATGCCAGACCCTTCCTCAAAATCCCCATCTTCCCCCGAGTCTGCGCCGTCGGACGACGCCTCTGAAGCAGAGGCTAGTATCGACAACACATCCTCAAGGGGGATGTCCTCCCTGAAAAACGCCCAACGCTGCTTCCTCTCCTCTAAAGAAAGGAGGGCGCAGGAGGCGCAATTCGGGGGACTGCAGACGCCTTCCTTGGCATGCTGGGATCCCAAACACACGAAACATAAGTCGTGGTGGTCACCGGCCGCCATGGAAGTGCATCTGCACTGAGCTCTGAAAAGAGCTTTTGGGGGTGGAAAATCTCCCGGTGTGCTCATTTAGACGACGTTGATGACTGGAATATCAATGGCGTTTTCGTCCTGAGTCTTCGTGCTTCGTCTCTTCTTGGCTCTTCAGTCTAGTCATCCAGTCGCTGAAGAAAAAGGGAGGCTGATTGAGGGGAGGCACCCCCTCTTATAGGGACACCTGTACTCCTATTGGCTGTAGGTGTGTGCATAATTTTGTCTCAGGCTGCTGCTGCCTTAGGGCAGAGGGTAAACCATTAGGAGCAGAGCTCCCCTATGGGGCGGAGCTCCACGATATAGAACTTGCAACATTGTATCAACTGGGTCCTGCCACTAGCGAACTTGCAACATTCTTTCAATTTGGCCTTCAGTTTCCGGCGCCAGTGAGCTCGGTACAGACACATACAGCTGTATTTGCATCTGTATTTCAGCCCCTTTTCAGTTGTGCCGACTTTAATTTGTACAAAAAAGGTCAATCTGTCAGCAAGAAGCATAAATTAATTCAGGCTACAAAAGTGTGTCATTACACTTTTTGGTGTTTTGCAACAGATGTCTCTTTCCGTTCATCAAAATCACAGGTGCACAGTGCACTGTTTGGATGCTGGAGGAACGTGCACAAGTAGCCTACTTTACTTTTTTGAAGTGATTTGTTTGACAATCAGATGAAAACATCACGACTGATTGTGTTAATTTCCTTCCACATTAAAAGGTAATAAATGTTTACCGTTAAAATATACCTTTACTACTAGGCCAATTAGGAAGTCCCGTGAAAGAACCAGGACGAATACCTGTGGGTGCAATCTTTCAATTTAAATCGGAATGTTTTTCTCTCTGTCACACTGTTATATCTGTCCATCTTGGTGTGTTTTTGGTCTCTCTCCTCAGGCCATTTGGTGGGGCCAGTGCTGTGCCACTCCTTCTGTAACAGCATGGGCCTCCCTCCTATCGGCTCAGCCCTGGAGCATCCACACTGCTGCTTGATGCTGTTCTTCTACCTGCTGGGTGTCGTCGTCTTCCTGATCCTCCTCTTCCCCCTGACTGATCCCTTCTTCCATGGCATAGCGCTCATCTGCAGCCTAGCGCCCGGCTTACACACTGCATACTCCTGATGCCACCCTCAGCTCCATAGCAACATGGTTGGTTCCATCTATGTCCGCGGGGAGAGATATTTTTCGATAGCTTAAACGGTTGGTACGTTGTCAAGGAAGGCGATCACGTGTGTCTGCGAACAGAGGATCACTGGTTCGAGCCCGGTATGGGGACAGGGTTAGTGGAGGAAGATACACTGTTAGCAGCACACTGACGTCCGTTTTTCTTTGTTAGAATCTTAATGTGTCCCATTGCGGGTCTTTAGTCAGGTCTGTCCAAAACCATTTCTACAATCTCTATCCTATTTGGCCTCATATTCCACTGAAAAATACTAGTGAGTTTAGCCCGTTATTCTGTTAAAACCATACTTAGGGTAATGTGCATTCCAGCTCCCAGCATGACCTTTGCTCAAAAAAGAAAATAACTTTTCTACTTGGAATATTTATTTGTTGTCTCCAGGGTATTTTTAATGCCCATAACAAATCCATTCAGCTTGCCCAGTAGCATTCCCCTGACACCCCTTAGTGGGTAATAACTTCATGTTTTACTGTCTGAACAGGGGAAAGACATTTTACCACAGCTTTAGCACAGTGGGAGGTGTCATTCTATGAATCATACTCTCATAAAGCTTTAGAGACAGAACATACTAAGATCAATGGCTAAATTGTTTTCTTACCTAGATTGCCAAAACTGTCTGTGAATACTTGCTTTGCAGCCCTAAAATGGTTCCCAAATCTCCAGTTGTATATTTTTGCCCCTCTGTCCCCCTAATCCTGCTCATTATAATCAGTGTGGACCAGTGGGCTCCAGTCCTGCTTCTGGGTAGAATATCAGCCACTAGGAATATTTTATTTATTGAAAAGACACTAAAATGTGGAGTATTATACAAGCAGGGCAATTACTTATCCAAGCTGTGCAAGAGCAGACATTTCCTGCATGTGTGAAAATATTGGAAACCGTACTGTCCGGTACAATGCACAAAGGCTGCTGTACAATGACCCTGTGCCATGTACATTTTTATCTACTAAATGGGCTTATACACAGTGGTTATTGTGATTCATTCTTCCTGAGTGTCAGGCATGTGTTTAGCAGCTGTCAGTTTCTGCCCAAGATGTACTTTTCTCCACAACAGAGTGGTTCACATAAGAATGCCATTCATCAATTGACAGGGGTTGAAACGACAGTTATCTGTTTTGAGTGTCTATAAAACTCTCTGAATGGACTCAGAAGGTTGAGATGGTTTCTGCCTGGAAACTGGAACACTATTTCCATTCTCTCAGTTTTGATAGAACCTGGCTCAGAGAACTTGGCTCAGGAAGGCTGCTCAGGAAGGCTCGAGGTCCAGGAAACTTTCATTCCAGCGTCCTCATGAGGCACTGTGGAAACACAGCACGAGGACAAAGGCTCCACATCACAGAGCAGTAACTGGAGACTGCCTGGAGTTTATTACAATATGGCAACCATCGAGCTAAAGCCCCACTAATAGCCAGTTCACAGGCCAAGAGCCTTCAGAGACATCCTAGTGACCCACAGGCCAAGGGCCCTCAGAGACATCCTAGTGACCCACAGGCAGAGGGTCCAGGACCACAAGCAGAGATCAGTGGGGTGGGCATGTGGGCATGTGCATGCTTCTGTGTTTTGTAAAATAAAATACAAACATTTTGCCTATATGAATAAATGTCCCCTGCCTATTATATGTATTAAACTCCTAAGATCAAAAATAGTATAATTGACTATGGGATGATTTGTGTGTAACAGAGAGAGAGAGGTTTAGAGGTATACAGATATTAAACAAATCAAGAGAGAACTGTCCATCAAATCAAGAGAGCCCTGTCAAACGCTGTCATCAACAATAAAACAATTATCATCTGGCATATTTACAAATCTACAATGTTGAATCACTAGGTAAGAAATATGCATAGCTAGTACAATCCAACTGGCACAATATAGTCTCCAAATCAACTATAGACAAAAGGGTTTCATAATGCTCAACGACCATTGCATATCATTCCAGAACCAACCGTTAACCATTTCGACAAAAGAAAAAGAAGCAGAGTAGAGAGAGAACTTGGTCCTTTTGCATTTCCCAGGGTGACTCAGTACCAGCCTCAAGGCCACCGTCCACCCTGTCCTTTAGAGAGAAAGGCTGTGGACTTCCACTTGCAGTCGTCATGAGTCTGAGGCTTGGATTCCCCTATAGCTTTCATGTGGCATTCCCTTTTCACCTCCTATTGTTAATGCATTTACCGTGATCCAGTCATATTCCTTTTATAATCCTTCACGTTGATACGGCCATTTCTTCCTGCCCTCAGAAAGGCAGTGACAGACACGCTGATGAGTGTGAAATATGGAAAAGCTGAGACTATTTCTCATCTGGTAAATTAATAATCTATGAGTCATTTTGTACCCAGAATATTCTCTTACTGCAATTATTCCCTTCAGCATTATTTATTATTATTTAAGAGAAGAAGAATGATAGCCCTTTGAAAAGCACCGTAACAGAAGTTGTTACTGCTTCAGCTTACTGATGTAATAATTTGACATGAACATTTATTTATTTAACCTTTATTTTGACAGGGAGTCATGCCGAGGCCAAGGTCTCTTTCACAGATGAGCCCTGTATAAACATCATTATACATTAATGTACACATCAATATACACATTAATATACACTATACACATCACTATTTACATTTACATTTTCGTCATTTAGCAGACACTCTTATCCAGAGCGACTTACAAATTGGTGCATTCACCTTATGATAGCCAGTGGGACAACCACTTTACAATTATTATTTTTTATTTTTATTTTTTTGGGGTGGGGTAAGGGGGGGTAGAAGGATTACTTTATCCTATCCCAGGTATTCCTTAAAGAGGTGGGGTTTCAAGTGTCTCCGGAAGGTGGTGAGTGACTCCGCTGTCCTGGCTTCGTGAGGGAGCTTGTTCCAGCATTGGGGTGCCAGAGCAGCGAACAGTTTTGACTGGGCTGAGCTGGAACTATGTTTCCGCAGAGGTAGGGGGGCCAGCAGGCCAGAGGTGGATGAACGCAATGCCCTCGTTTGGGTGTAGGGACTGATCAAAGCCTGAAGGTACGGTGGTGCCGTTCCCCTCACAGCTCCGTAGGCAAGCACCATGGTCTTGTAGCAGATGCGAGCTTCAACTGGAAGCCAGTGGAGTGTGCGGAGGAGCGGGGTGACGTGAGAGAACTTGGGAAGGTTGAACACCAGACGGGCTCCGGCGTTCTGGATGAGTTGTAGGGGTTTAATGGCACAGGCAGGGAGCCCAGCCAACAGCGAGTTGCAGTAATCCAGACGGGAGATGACAAGTGCCTGGATTAGGACCTGTGCCGCTTCCTGTGTAAGGCAGCGTCGTACTCTGCGAATGTTGTAGATCATGAACCTACAGGATCGGGTCACCGCCTTGATGTTTGCTGAGAACGACAGGGTGTTGTCCAGGGTCATGCCAAGGCTCTTTGCACTCTGGGAGGAGGACACAACGGAGTTGTCAACCTTGATGGCGAGATCATGGAACGGGCAGTCCTTCCCCAGGAGGAAGAGCAGCTCCGTCTTGCCGAGGTTCAGCTTGAGGTGGTGATCCGTCATCCACACTGATATGTCTACCATGCATGCAGAGATGCGATTCGCCACCTTGTTATCAGAAGGGGGAAAGGAGAAGATTAATTGCGTATCGTCTGTGTAGCAATGATAGGAGAGGCCATGTGAGGATATGACAGAGCCAAGTGACTTGGTGTATAGCGAGAATAGGAGAGGGCCTAGAACTGAGCCCTGGGGGACACAAGTGGTGAGAGCACGTGGTGCGGAGACAGATTATCGCCACACCACCTGGTAGAAGCGACCTGTCAGGTAGGACGCAATCCAAGAGTGAGCCGCGCCGGAGATGCCCAACTCGGGGAGGGTGGAGAGGAGGATCTGATGGTTCACAGTATCAAAGGCAGAAGATAGGTCTAGAAGGACGAGAGGAGAGAGAGTTAGCTTTAGCAGTGCGGAGAGCCTCCTTGACACAGAGAAGAGCAGTCTCAGTTGAATGACCAGTCTTGAAACCTGACTGGTATGGATCAAGAAGGTCATTCTGAGAGACATAGCAAGAGAGTTGGCTAAAGACGGCATGCTCAAGAGTTTTGGAGAGAAAAGAAAGAAGGGATACTGGTCTGTAGTTGTTGACATCGGAGGGATCGAGTGTAGGTTTTTTGAGAAGGGGTGCAACTCTCGCTCTCTTGAAGACGGAAGGGACATAGCCAGCGGTCAAGGATGAGTTGATGAGCGAGGTGAGGTAAGGGAGAAGGTCTCCGGAAATGGTCTGGAGAAGAGAGGAAGGGATAGGGTCAAGCGGGCAGGTTGTTGGGCGGCCAGCCGTCACAAGTCGCAAGATTTCATCTGGAGAGAGAGGGGAGAAAGAAGTCAAAGCATAGGGTAGGGCAGTGTGAGCAGGACCAGCGGTGTCATTTGACTTAACAAACGAGGATTGGATGTCGTCAACCTTCTTTTCAAAATGGTTGACGAAGTTATCCACAGAGAGGGGGGGGGGGGGGGAGGGGGAGGAGGATTCAGCAGGGAGGAGAAGGTGGCAAAGAGCTTCCTAGGGATAGAGACAGATGCTTGGAATTTAGAGTGGTAGAAAGTGGCTTTAGCAGCAGAAACAGAGGAAGAAAATGTAGAGAGGAGGGAGTGAAAAGATGCCAGATCCGCAGGGAGTCTAGTTTTCCTCCATTTCCGCTCAGCTGCCTGGAGCCCTGTTCATTGAGCTCGCAATGAGTCGTCAAGCCACGGAGCAGGAGGGGAGGACCGAGCCGGCCGGGAGGATAGGGGACATAGAGTCAAAGGATGCAGAAAGGGAGGAGAGGAGGGTTGAGGAGGCAGAATCAGGAGATTGGAGGGAGAAGGATTGAGCAGAGGTAAGAGATTATAGGATGGAAGAGGAGAGAGTAGCGGGAGAGAGAGAGCGAAGGTTGCGACGGCGCATTACCATCTGAGTAGGGGCAGAGTGAGTAGTGTTGGAG